CGACCTATATAAAAAATAATGATGTATCAGCTGCATCATTCTTGGTTCAGGAGTGCGATTCACTAAGGCAAAACATCTTTACAACCGAGAAATCATCGTTGAAACATCTGATGAAAACTTATCGGTATTCTTTAGTTAAAACTGCGCGGTCGTAGCGCCACAACGATGTCGACGGCGCGACATAGAACTTAAATATGGTTCCGAATGTATGAAAAACGGTATTCAGAAACACAAAACATCCTCGCCTTCAACGACAACGGCGCCTTCGCCTTAGATTTTACCTCTCGAAGCGTAAAGCTTGTAAATTGTAGAAGTTTCCTTGGTTGTAGACATTAAAACGTAAGTAAAACAAGTTATTTTTTAAATTATAAATGCTTAGTATTGTTTTGTTTACCGTATTTTAACTCGTGAAACTTTAATGCCTATTATTAATGTTTCAAATGGCAGTTCGTCTTTCCTGTATGATTTTTTTGTTGGAAGAAGCTATGTTTCGAGATAATGTAGAAAAAAGAAGTCAGGCACATGTGATACGTAACATGGATCTTCTTACTACTGATACAGAATTTATTAAGGTATTCACGTTGACTGAAGAGTCAATTAAACAATTGGAAGAAGATATTTCACCATTTTTAGCAAAGACGAAACGTAAAGGAGGAATTTGCAACCGAACTAAAGTATAACTAAATTAATTAAATTTATATTATTATTATTACAACTATTATATCACTATACTTATAGTGAAAAATGTCTAAAACTTATCTCATTCCAGATTTTATGCTAATGGGAGTTTTCGCATTTTTAGCTAATGGGAGTTACCAAAAAATATTATGTGAGAATACAAAAAAGGTTACTAGCTTTTCCAGCTGATCTAACGAAGGAGATGCGTTGCGAGACACTAAAAGTTAAATATTTTGGTTACTTATATAGTAGTTCCACAAACTGCTATATTTAAATAGAAATGTAACTAAGTATATACTTACATTCGATAGGTTTGGGACCAAACTAAAACACAAAACAAGTAGAACGTCATTGGGTTGGGGTGCACAATTTTTTTAAAGTCCACTTAGCCACTTATAGTCACTTAGAACTTTGGAATTTCGTAATTTGATAAAAAAACTTTCAAGATAAGATCAAGTTGTTTGTTTTGAAATACATAACCTAAAAATAAAAGTGTCAAAGATTTAGTTTTGTTTTATTGCTATAATCAAAATTAATTATTTTCCAAGTCTAAAATGATATAATTAATTAAACATTTGTTGCTTATTAAATATAACGTGTTTTATAGAAACGTCTTGTGCATTTGTATTAATTTAAAATGACGAAATAACTTAAACATAGGTAAGTCGAGATTTTCTCGATTATACTCTAGATTAAACATAGCAACACTGCCAACATCATACTCATCATCGTTGTTCGGCAGATCGTCGACGAGCTTATGTAGCTTAGCGAATACGGTTTTTATCAACGTTGTTTTTAGAAGCGATATTTACGATGAAACATCCGCGAACGCGTCGTTGTTAACATCTATGATGATTCTGTTAGTGAATCGCATTGCAGTTTAAAATAGAAATGGCATGTGATTACATATTTATAACGTATACACACATACACTAAAAAGAAAAACGGACATAATAGCAAAACCTTGCGGAACGTTCATTCTTATCTCAGAGCCCAGTGAGTTAGAACCACATGCTAGAATCGCATATTAGAATTATATGGACCCCTCAGTTGCCGATCGATCGAGAGTGCAGTGTGTCTAACTTTGTAATAATCTAATTTCAGCATAAGCGTTTCATGATCAACGCTATCGAACACTTTTGTAAGGTCGTAAAGACACCAACAAACATCCCGTGCTTCCTCCCAAGCATCCAATATTTTCTTCATTAAAGTTACAGCGGCGTCAGTTGTACAATGACCTTTAGTGAAACCGTTTTGTTGGTGATGGGAGATGGAATGTTTATCAAAGTGATGAAGCATCCGAGATAGTATTAACCAATGAAACAATGAATTTATTTTTGCAAATAGGCCATAAAACGGCACTTTTACACATCAAATTATATGTGAAAAACTAGATGAAGCCGGCATTTCCTATCTGATTACTCTGAGAAGAAATGCCGAAACAAACTCAGAGGTCAGTCTCTTTTCTAATGTGAGAAAATCGTGCAAGTTCATTCTGTAGTGGTCTTTTGAGGAAAGAACCACACCAGTTTAAGTGGACCCGTTCTGAAGACAGGCACGCAAGTGTCAGTTTGCAACCAGTATAGCTAGTGCTGCTGAGTTGTCCGACGAACAATACCGATCAAAAGAACATTTGGGTGGGTCGCGCAAGTACTCAAACTGTCAGAACGCAGATAACTGGTAATCAAAAAGCACGGCAAGTCTCACACGGTCCTTACACTAACAATAATATAAAATAATGAAAATGTCAATAAATAAATGAAAAAGAATGTTAAATAAAAAATAAAAATGTCACAATAGGTGATTATGTCATTGTATAAAAAATAAACGTAATGTCAAATTGTATATAAAAGTGTAACTTATGTTACAAACATGTCAACATGACCTGTGCAGACATTACAGCGGCTCATTCCCAAGCCTGACTATCCTCTAAGTAGTATTTTATTTTATAAAATGCTTTACAGCAAAGTTTAGCCTTTATTACACTTTTAAATTTATTGAGGCTCAAATTTTGAATATCGCTAGGGATTTTATTGTAAAAGCGTATACATTGACATCTAAACGAACTACTTATTTTCTGAAGCCTGGAGGCAGGGACAACATATTTGTTTTTCCCCCTCGTGTTGATATTATGTATATCACTATATTTCTTAAATAAGTTTTTGTTTTTATGAGCGTGAATTACATTTTCATAAATATATTGAGAGGCAACTGTCATTATTTTACATACCTTAAATAATTCTCTGAGCGAATGCCTCGGACTAAGATTATAGATTGATCGAATAGCCCTTTTCTGCAGAACAAAAATAGACTGGATGTCAGCAGCATTCCCCTACAACAAAATACCGTATGACATGATGCTGTGAAAATAACTAAAATAAACTAACTGCGCTGTATCTACATCTGTTAAATTTCTAATTTTTTTAACGGCATATGCTGCAGAACTGACCTTCTTCGACAAGCCATCTATATGTGGGCCCCACTGGAGCTTAGCGTCCAGGGTTATACCTAAGAAGACAGTTGTATCTACAGGACTCAACTCCTCGCCCTTGACAAGCACACTGGTTTTTTACCTGTTTAACATTTGGTGTTGTGAGTTTAATACATTTATTTTTAGCTTCGTTTAGTAATAAATAATTTATACCAAACCAGTGAACTATTTCTGAGAGAGCACTGTTTACATTGTCAATAACTGATTATCGTCGTCTGAGTTTGAATAATAGTGAGGAATCATCAGCAAACAGCACTATCTCGTGTTTATCCCTTACAAGGTAAGGCAAGTCATTAATATAGATAAGAAATAAAAACGGGCCGAGAATAGAACCCTGCGGAACACCCATCTTCACAACAGACCCGGCAGAAACTATTCCGTTTACTTCGACTCTCTGAACCCTATTACTCAGGTATGAGGTAAGAAGGTCCAGAGATGTACCTCTAATTCCGTAATAGGAAAGCTTCCTGATCAGTGTATCATGAAGCACACAATCGAACGCCTTGGATAAATCACAAAATATTCCCAAAGCGTCGCTTGAGTCCTCCCATGCGTCATAAATATGATTAAGAAGTTCAATACAGTTCAATCAGTTGTTGAACGACCCCTTGTAAATCCGAACTGCTTCGCATGTAATAATTTATTTCTATTAAAAAATCTTTGCATTTGATCTAAAATAATTTTTTCAAAAATTTTACTGAACGTAGGTAGTGCTGAAATAGGTCTAAAGTTAGTGGGGTCAGAAGTACTACCTGATTTAAATAATGGAATTATTTTACTACATTTCATAAGATCAGGAAACACACCACACTCAATACAGTTATTAAAGATTTGAGCTAATACAGGTGCTACAATAGTTATTACAGAGCTTGTAATGTACATAGAATTACCCCATAGATCTGCAGTCTTTTTGTTATTTAAAGTATTAAAGATTTTAACAATGTCTTTGTTATCTATGTGTTTAAAGGAAAACCCTGAATCGTAAGCTACAACATGTTTTTTGAGTAAAGACTCTGCAACAGTGGGAGATGAACTTTCTGAACCTCTCAAACACTTTGCCAAGAACCAGCAGAATAGACACAGGCCTATAGTTGTTTTGTTTTTAAGTGTTACCACGTTTGAATAGTGCAATATCTTTACTGTATTTCATTTGGTTCGGGAAGACACCGTCATCTATGCTGTTAGTTCTGATATGTGATCCGCAGACTTTTACCAATAGTCCCCAAAGGTCCTGAGTTGATTCAAACATTCATTGTCTGTTGCTGTGAGTCTGGCTGATGATTACAAATGAGCAGTTGTTTTGATAGGTATATTAGCAAAAAAGTCTAAAGCTCCTGAGCTATACCTGTGCTTGACGAAATCTGTCCCAAAATTTATCTTTCAGTGTTTACGCAAAATTCCGATTTTTTTAATCGTTTCCTACCTGTACCTATACCTATTTCATTCTTTAGTATTTTCCATGTAGCCTTTATCTTATCATCAGCTGATTTTATTTTATTACTGATGAAAAGACGCTTTGCGGCTTTGCAAACTATTCGCAAAGTCTTTGAGTATAAGTTTACAGTTGATGCAAAAGGGTTCGCAATTGTATGGTTTCATACCATAAAGTTCAAAAAGTTCATTTCTCCCTTTACGAAAATATACGGTTGCCCAATTGCTAAACTGCAACTTAGCAAGACGTCTTCTTTACGTTTCAATGGAAATATTTGCATTCTTAAACTTAATCTGAAATTAGTATAATTTTGGCAATGATGAGTCTTGCAAAATTGATTGCAATGATCGAATGAATTTGTTCAATTATTTAAAACAATTAAATTGTGAGCCATTTATGATTTTATTATACATTTTTAGCTTTCTTTTCTTTGCAAACTTTTAGCGGTGCTCGTTTTTTCTCTTCACAGTATGCATTACACACATCATTCGGGCGATTGTTGCGAATATTTGCAAACCACGACGTCTCCACTCTTGATGTCGCACTGTAAAAAAACAAATAACGTTCGAAAGGCAAATATACCTGCTTAGTAACAGAAATGAGGGCAATTTTAGATGAACATCACATCACACATCATCAGCCTATAAATGAACATGTTGAGTGAAGGTCTCTTGAAGATTTGAGCAATAATCATTACGATTGTTGAATGTGGTTTACACCCTCATTAAACGACTTACTAGTGGTTTTGATCCAGTGGGAAAGTGTTTATTTATAGTTTTTACGCTGCATTAGAGTCATTGGTCAGCCCAATACTAGTATATAGAACTGATATTAGAAACGAAAAACAAAATATTCTTTTAGATATTTACCTGCACTTTTTGTCAAAGGACATTTCCATATCAACTGTCTGGGGAGAAACTCCTGGCAATTGTGAATTACCTGTCAAATATTAATAGCAATATTATTCATTACCATCATCATCAGCCTATAAGTGCCCACTGCAGCAAAGGCCTTTGCTCACACAGACAAGGTTTGAACATTAATCACCACGCTTGCTCAAGGATTGGCGATTTCACACTTATAATTAGAAATAAGTCCAGATTTCGTCTGGATATTTTCCTTTACCGTACATATAACTCGGAAAAAAAGTCACATTGACCTCTGGGCCACCACGACGTTGTTTTCAGGAGGTTCATCTACATAAGTTATAATTTCGATCAGACATTATTGGTGTGCACAGTTTTGGATCTAATGACTGAAAATACTCACGTCGAACAACTGCTCTGAAAGTTGCGGTCTCTGACCCAGCTATGTTCTTAGCTACACACACATACGACTTAGTATCTGCTATTTTTGGATATTTTATAATAAGTGCTCCATCTTCTACCGTGTATTTGTTATCTGGAAAAAAATTCAATTTTTTCATTCTTAATTTCTATTTTAAGGTTCAACTGAAGTCACTGTTTACTTACGATACCTATTTAAGAAGATCCCAGGAATGAAATCATGAGCAACGTGCGTGCGTTCATGTTATGTTCCGCTTATATTTTTTTGTTAATTCAGTTATTTTACTAATAGATATCACACAAAAATATTCAGTAGGTACTTGGGATTATAAAAGAGTACGTTGGGTTTATTTTGGATGATAAATAAAAACCTTTATATGCCTATTATATTTTTTTCCTTCCTTCCTTTTGTAGGTATACCTACTAAAATACAATTGAATGCAGCTATTTTAATTTCGTAAGATGCTAATAATAATAAAATATAGTTTATTACTTGGCACTTCGATGGGTCGACCGTCCATTTTCCAGGTGATGGTTGGTCTAGGGTCCCCAACAGCGACGCATGGTATCTTCAAAATATCGTCCCCCTCAACAGCTTGACGTATAATAGATCTACGAGATAATATTCTTGGTATGTCTGTAATAAACATTCTATTTTTTATTATATTGCATACATAATTATGTTTTTTAGTAAACATATGTCAACGTTGAGAAGTCATTTGATGATTTTCCCCTCACAAAAAAAAAACCATATTATTTTTATCGTCAAAGTCAAAATCATTTATTTCAACTAAACCACAAACAGGAACATTTGAAAAGTGAAAATAGGATACGGTCTGTCAGTCAGCTCGTCAGTGTAGCCGTTCGTTCCAAAGAGATTCCATAAGAGAAGAACCGGCAATTAACTTCATAGAAAACCAATCTTACCTTGAACGATTAAAGTTGTTATTTTCTCATCCTTATATGCTTGTGCGTTTTCTGCCACGCACTTGTATTGCCCCTCGTGTTTGGCTTCTGCATTATTGATACGTAGCACGCTTCCAGTCTCATTCAGTAGTACGAATTTTGAACCAGATTTGCCCCCAAAATGCCATTTAATGGTAGGAACTGGTACACCAGTCACGCTACACAGAGAATTAAAAATATTATGTAGTGTTTGTAAAAACGTAAGTACCAGTATATTCTTTTAGAGTAATAAATATGTGTTGTCTCCATGTTTTTTAATGTCATCCAGCCCTTACATTTTATGGTTGGAAGAGGAATTTTATATAGAGCAACTTTTTGGAAATGTTTCGAATTTAAATAGAGCAAAAATATATATGGTAATTGTCCTCAAAACAGCAATTGTACAAAGAACGCACACGATTCTTGTCAAAGAAAATCGAGCTGCTGTAGTGACTGAGTCTAAGTCTGCATAAAGACGAGATAGTGTGTTGATTGTCTGCAGTAGTTGTAATTGGGAATTTAAAAAAAAACAGTTACTTTTTGAAAGATGTATTCAATTTGTCTTAAAGTGCAGAATTACATACGGGAAAGTTGTATTACTTACTTGCATTCTAAGACAGCAGTTACACCCCTAACCGCTTTCACGATTGGCTCTATCTGAACTTTAGGTAGAACTGAAAATTATAAATTTAATTTACAATGACATGCACTGCTGTATTGCCTAAAAGCTATTTCGGTGAAGTTGTCTCGTAGTTTTATGATAAAAAATTACCTATTTTAAGTTTTTTGTTTCTATTTTCTTGTCAGGATAACTTACAACGAAAAATTTTAAAGTTGAAACCGTTACATTCTTCCAAAATTTGTTCTTTCTAAAATAAATCTATTTACTTACCCAAACCACTTATTTTAACACGCCGACTTATAGCAGTTTTTATAGCTCTATCGTTAATTAGATAAGCATGGCAGATGTATTTTCCAACTAAATTAAAATCCATTTTCTTTATTGTTAATTCCGTTTTGTCTGCTGTTAATGAGTAGTCGTCAGAATCAATTATTCTGTCTTTTTCTCCAGAAATTTCATTAACAAGGTACCAATTGGTTTTCATAGGAAATCTCGACTTAATATCACATTTTAGGACACCAGGTTTCCCATAATCCACTTTCACATCTATTAGAATGAAATGAGGTCATTTAAAACTTAGTTTGAAAGAGAAAATGCATCAAAAGCCGGTCAGGAAAACTCGAGAACATTGCGTACAAACATTTCTATATAAATAATGTGTACTTTATTTTATATAATATGGGTGAAACTGGTGTAATCCCTTTTTTGTAAAGTACATTTTTTCGACACAAAATCACATTTTATTTAAAACTGAAATAAAATCGAAACTCACACAACACCTTCATTTTTAGGGTTAAATAGAAAAAGTATTATCATTGACAAAACTTACTTAGAAAAGTATCAGCTACAATAAACGCATCCTTTACTTTGACTTTAATTGTTGCCTTATTTGTTCCGGCTGTATTTATTGCATGGCAAATGTAGCCATCGTTTGCTGTGACGTGTATGTTTAGGTAGCTTATGTACTCTGACGACGATCCATTCGTCTTAGTCTGAAACATAGTTAACACAGTATTTTCATCATCATCATCATCATCATCATCATCATCATCATCATCATCACCATCATCATCATCATCAGCCTATAAGTGCCCACTGCTGAGCAAAGGCCTCTTCTCATACGGAGAAGGTTAGAGGATTAATCACCACGCTTGCTCAATGCGGGTTGGCGATTTCAAACTTATAATTAGAAATTATAAGTCCAGCTATCCTCACGATGTTTACCGTCACCGTATCTCAGTGGTGTCTAAATAATCATAGAAAGTACATATAACTCCTAAAAAGTTACATTGGTACTTGCCAGGTTTCGAACCCACACTCTCATGCATGAGAAGCGGACTCCTTAACCTCGGGGCCACCACGACATTCGTATTCGTATTTTCTTGTTTCATACTTATTATTTTGAGGTTTACCTTCGTCGATTTCTCACTGGAAAATGTAAGTAATAATAGAATTGAAAAGCAAAAGGGACCTGAATTTTATAAATTACTTATTTGATTTTACGGTATAAGTTGGCAAATTATCAGACGGATTACCTGATGGTAAGCAATCGGCGCCCGCAACATAATAGTTGCGATTATTTAAGGATTGGGAAGGGCTAAATGAGGGGGAGGGAATGGGCCCGGTAACCTCAGTCTCACGGCGAAATACAACGTTGTAGTTGTTTCATGCTGGTTTTCTGTGAGGCCGTCGTATTACCTACACCGGTCGAGCAGATCCATTCGTGCCGAATTTTGGCTCTCCAACGCTTGATTTGTTTTATCACCGTGCTTAATGAGTGAATAATAATATAACGTATAGAAAAATAACTTACTACTTTAGAAAACATTTCCCGTCCCTTATTGTTGTGCCAAAATATTTTAGGCTCAGGAGAAGCGGACACTTTACAAGTCAAAGTCAAGGAACTGTTGTATTCTACAGATGTTTCGTTGCCCTCAGCAATCACCACTTTAAGAAATTTATCGTCTGGTAATTCTAGAAACATTATTTTTGTTTGTTAGACATTTGCAATACAATACAATACAATATTCTTTATTGTGGTACGTTGGTAAGTAAATAGGTGTTACATTATTCAATGATTGTACACTACTATGACACGCCATAATGGCATACAATAATTTTTAAGTATATCAGTGACGCTTGTAACATACAACAGCAAAATCAAGCAAGTAGAAAATAATAATGATGTAGCATTTTTATGCAATTTTAATTGAATGCTACCTTTAAACTAACCTTCTTTTATTTATTATAATTTTAGTATGTAGTCAAAAGAAAATAAAGAATAAAAATGTCTATAAAATTAAGTAGACGTAGCAAGTCGAGTAGTCTGATAAATCATCATCATTACCTTGTACCCCTTAGTGGAAAAAAGAGTGCTACTACTTATAATGTGATTATCCAAACTAATATTATAAATGCGAAAGTAACTCTGTCTGTCTATCTGTCTTTTCTTCACGCCTAAACTACTGAACCGATTTCTGTTTTTGGTACTCGAGTAGTTTGGAACTCGAGAAAGGGCATAGGATAGTTTTTATACCAAAAAATCTGCAGGAAGTCATTATTTTACGCGAATGGAGTCGCGGGCAAAAGCTATTAAAAACAAAAGTACTTTTTTCTAATTATACACCACACACTCTAAGATTTTCTCCCTAGGGTCGTGACCTGGAACAAGTTTTTGTGGAACTCACAAAGATTGTGTTGTGCGAGAATTGAGTCCGCGGATAATTGAGCTATACGGTCAAATTTCACTATGGTCATAAAGTATTAAATTCTGTTGCGTGGTTTAATAGAAGAAAGTATGACCGGATAGGTAATACGGAAAGATAATAAACTTAGTTATTACGATTATAGACTTACTTGGCGGCTTGGAAGTTGTAATAGGAATCTTCGCAAAACGCTTCACGACGTGACCCGTTGCTTTCACTTTTCCGTTTACCTAAACAGTAATATTTATTTCGTTGTTAATAATAATGTTAAAAGACTCGATAAGAGACATTTCTTGCTACAATCGCATGTCATATAACATAAACTCATTTGTATATCTCTCAATAACATGAAATCATAATAAAAACCCTTCATTTATTTTGTTTCTTATGCGTCATTAGAAACTGCAACAATTGTCTTTCGCTGTCAAGAAGGAGAACTTACACCAGTAGGCCTTTTTTTGTCAGGGGAAAATCATCTAATGACTTTTCCCGCCCAGGGCCGGGCGGGAGGGAGTGTCAGACTCTTACTGACTAATACCGTTCCTTCTCCTGCTATGGGCCGAGGTCGCGGTGTCTCATTGCGCTTACCCCGAACCCCGGCTGAATATCAGCCTTATAGGGCTCCGTCTGTGGTTGTCTATTGGCTCTTTGAGGCGCACGCGAAACGCTACGCGCCATACGCTCGGGTACACCAGTAGGCCTACCATGAAGTGTTAAAGCGGGAATCTTCCGGGCGAGAAAGAGGGAAGGTGCTATATAACTTTTATAGCTCCATCCCGCTTTCTCGTTCACGTTTTAATACGTCATGGTAGGCTCTCAGAACAACACAACAAAATTTACAACTGCCGGAAGAATGATAACCGATCTTAGATTTACATATATCCACTTTTGACTTTACTTAAATTTATGCCCGGAGTTTCGGTCAAAAGATTAGATCAATCCAAATATTTTGGATTAAGATCGGTTCTTAATTTCGGTCCATATTCAATGAGCGATATGTCATTTTAATACTTACCGCTACTTTGAACCTTTGTGTTGGTGTAACTAAAGGCTGGGTAATGTAAAAATCTTTAGAGATTTTTGTCAAAGGAATATCTGGTTTCAATGGCGTTCCGTCCATACCTAATATCTGGGCTGTTCTTATTTCTACTGTTTGGCGTTCATCAGTAACTAATATTGACAAGAAATGGACATCGGTATCTGAAATATTAAAAAAAGAAAGGTAAGATAAAATATTATTAGTACAGAGTTTTAAGTTTAGGTTTTGTAGGGTTTTGATATACGAGTGCAACTTTTAAAAGTCACCTTTATCTAGCGTCCCTTTACCCAGTCTAGTGGTTTTTAGCATTTGGACTATTTATTTATTTATTTTAGGCTTCTCAACAATGAGTTCGTACACTATACTATATAAATTATACATTTCAAATTTAATTTTAAGTGCCCCATTACTTATAGAGAAGCACAGCATGCACCATGATATTATGCGCGGTTATTAAAATAAATTAATCAATTTTGAACAAATAATGCAACAAAAAAGTAAAAGTAAAGCTAAGTTGACAAAAATTTAATCTAAATTACAAAACACAATCTAAAATAAACAACAACAATCTAAAATGCTTAGGTATAATAAATAGTATTAAATTAATTACTTAACAAGATCAATAAATAATGGACAATAATTAGAACGAGCTCAAATTGTAAATGGTAAATAATAATGTGATAGCCTGAATTTTTTCTTCCCTTTATACTATATAAGATCGATAAAGATGACGGAGACCCTCGATTGCCTGTTCCATAAAACAGCTTTGACTTATTTGGTCGAGTACCTATTTTATAGATGTGATGAGTATAGGTGAACGATAATACGGTAGTTTCCAACTAGTCAAATTCAATACTTTTATCCAAATGTGAAAAACAATACGTTTCTATGTATGAAAAACTGAATTATGACGTCTTAGTTTTAAGCGTCAAATAGTTTAATATTTTTTTTTAATATCTAAAATCAATGTATCGATCGATCGATGAATAAAAATATAGAGTTATTTTTCAATATTTTATTGTATTGGAACAACGAATTAATTTATTTTTGACCTAACAAACTGCCCAATTATGAATAACTCACCAAATTGTGGTTGGAGTGACGTGTCGTTAATAGAGTCTGGCTTCAGCTTTGAAAAACCATGTTTGATTACGAAATCAGTCCGGCCTATAACGTTGACAGATAGCTCCGATTTCCCTTTCACGGTAGCGGTGTGCTTGCCATACTTTACATTCATCAATTTCACCACCTAAACACAATTAGGTGATATAACTAGTTTTGTGAACAAGAACCGCGGGTAACGGGATTAGCTTTAAAAAGGTTTGTTTTCAAAAATGTCAGAGACCTATTATTATTGAAATACTGGATGCAAATTAGCAGTTGCAAAGATGGTAAAAATCCATGCAAGTTTTGCAGTAAGTATTCTACAGCTATTCAACCTTTTTTTTGTTAATAATTATAAGCAAACAACGTGAATGTAGCAAAACAACAGACTAACTTTTATTCCACTTTCAAAAGTATTTATAGCCACAAAATTCTTCTTAAACCATAAACATATCTAATGGCGTTACGAGTATCAATTCGAACAAATACTTTTATTATTTTGATACATCATTACAACAATAATCTTATAGTTTTTTTATTATAACTTTCGTGAGACATTCTAAATTAATTATTATGTTTTCGGCTTACTCACGTAATAATTTGAGCGTAGCAGCGCGACAGTCGCCGAGTCCCGTGTCGCGGAATGCTGCTCATTAATATGGGCCTCTAGCATGGCTTGAAACTAGTCGAGTTTCTCGTCAAGTTATTACGTGAGTAAGTCGAAAACATAATAATTAATTTAGAATGTCTTATATATGTTTCATTTTCATTTCCATATTCCGTGATTACTCCTTAAATATCTTCATTGGAAACGAGTTGATTAAATCAATAACATACCTACACAGTAATCGTAAGTATTGTTCAATTAAGTAGTTAATTAGAATAATTGCTTATTTCACCGTGCGAGTGATGTTCCTTAGAAAGGGGAACCCCAATTCTTCCACAATCGCAAATCTATACCACTTAATATTATAAAGAGCTAAAATTTGTAAGTTTGTATGAAGGGGGTAATCTTTGGAACCACCGGTCGGATTCTTTCGATAGATAGCTACAATGTTCCTGATTGCTATATGCTATAAAACATCACGCTACGATTAAATGGCGTCAAGCAGCGGGTAAAACTGCGCGAGAGTAGCTAGTCTCAAATAATCCACTAAAGGCCGGTAAACGCACGTGGAATTCCTTTGGTGTTTGCGAGCGTCCATAGGTGGCGCTGATTTCTTACCATAAAAAACAAATATAGAGATAGAAACTAGAGAAGAATCTAAGGAGTGAAATATTGGTGATGAGGTAGTTATTAATATAATGCGGCACCTCCTATGGACATCATCGTCTTTATTATACTTTAAGTGATTAAACCCTGTTTAATAAATATAGAATAATAATAAAAAAATATACTTTAAACTTTCGCGTTGCATATTAATACTTTTTTTACGGGTTTTAACGCGCATGTAGCTTTTATTTAATTTTTGCTTGACGTTTCGGCAGTGTTACACCTGCCTTGGTCACAAGCAGATTAAAAAATAAATAAAAGGTACGTATGCGTTTAAGTGTGGGAGAGCCATGCTTCGGCACGAATGGGTCGGCTCGACCATAGTGATACCACGGCCTTACACAAAACCGGCGTGAAACAACCACAGCGTTGTGTTTCGCCGTGTGAGTGAGGTTACCGGAGGCCCAATCCTTCCCCTCCCCCAATCCCTCCTCAATCCCTAAATCTTCAAATCCCTAATCCATAAAGGTCAGCAATGCACTCGTAACGCCTCCGTTGCGGGTGTCCATGGGCGGCGCTGATTGCTTACCATTGGGTAATCCGTCTGCTCGTTTGCCGACCTGTTACATAAAAAAGAACTCCTAAAGCAGTAAAGTATCATCGTATTTTTTCACACGTATAAACTTATAGATGTGTTAATTGTTGTTACGATTTCCAAGCAAAATTGATTTCTATTAAAATAATAATAGTTCTCTAATACTCACTTTAGCATTATCATTCCACATTAAGTTTTCCTGTCTGCCAGTGTGTCCAGATATGTCTATAGTCACTGTCTTTCCTGACACGGATACTAAAACGTACTCGATTTGGTCGTCCACGTCGAACTGTAACATTTTAATTGAATATTTGTTGTTAGTCTTCGATTGTCTTTGCCGTTGCCTGCGACTTATACAATTTAACTTAATCTATATTTTTCCTAATATTATAAAGCTGAAAAGTTTGGTTGTTTGTTATGAAGACGGTAAACTAGGGAAATACTGATCTGTTATGAAAATTGTTTAAACACTCAATAGTCCATTTGTTGAGGAAGTCTATAATATAGCCAATATTTTATCTCGGTATTTCCACAGAAACGACAAAAACGCGGGTGGAACCGCGGGCACAGCTAGTGCTAGCGGGTGTGGGCTAGCTAGCTAGCTAGTATAACGCAATCGTGACTAACTGACTGAGTGACGGAACTTGCTGAAATTTGGCATGCAGGTACATGTTATGTCATAGGCTAAGAAAAGATTCTGATCAATTCCAGCCCCAAAGGATAGGGAATGAGAATTAAAATCTTCTTCAATTTTCAACTGATTCAACTGAAATTAAAGATTGAAGCTACTACAAGTTTGATGAAGACTAAGGTAATTATTTAAGTCAAGTAAGTATCAAATTTTAATAAATTAAACACTAACAAGGATAAAATAAAGTAAGATGGAGGATGTAAAACGCGAGCAAAGCCGCGGGTAAAAGCTAGTAAGTAAATATAGTGTGTGTGTGTTAGGGTGTCCCAGCATATAAGGGTGAAAAATTTTTTTTCAAATTTAGTTATGCATACCCTTTATATTTTTTGTTAATGACCCTAATAACCAAAATATAAAATATCATTGGGATCGGATAACGATAACCCGTGCCGACTTGATGGCAAACTTTTAACAAAATTTTTTTATGAAAAATACCGAGGACATTTTAGAATGTCACTTTCATTCAATAAATAAAGTATTATTTTAACTCAGTCGGATATTTAGTTTAAACTGATTTATTATATTATTGATTTATTATATAAAAGTTATTTACAAAATTTTATTTTCAATTTTTTTTTACAGTCTGGATATAATACTGTGTTCCTTTACGCCACGTAGTGAAAATTGTTTTTGTTCCTCTTCAAGAGTAATCTTTCCATGGAAGTCTCGCATTAACTTAATCGCTCTCTCTGCAGTATCATTGACAGCTCTTAGTGCCATCATCTGTTTTTAGATTGTACAAACGCAGCATTATTAGGCCATGAAGTAGGACACTTTTTGAGAAAACTGTCATCAATTTTCAAACGATTTAACAAGACCTTGCTTTTGATGGAAATGAAGTCGTCTATGTTTTTCTCGTACAGTGCATCACATAAGTCCTCTTTCGAGAGGATGTAGCGTTTACTGCGAGCTAAAGGATTTTGCTTCGATAAGTTATTAACCCTTCTTATTTTCGTTTCGCGGTCTACGTCGTAGTCAAACAGATCACAATACCATAAATGCTGACAGAAAACCAATTGTTTCATAAGCTTTCATAGCATCATATTCAAGAAGCACATAATATCCTGGTAAGGTGAGAAGGAGAGATATGTAATTAATTAATTAATTTATTAATTGAGAATAAAATTAGGAGCTATAAATTTAGGATTTCCAACAAAAACTAAGCGGCACTGTTAGGTGTCAACTTGTTCATTGTTATGTGCTACGCCAAACCTTGGATGCAGTGCATATTAGCAGTTAAAGCACTTTACCAGGATATGCGCTTCTTGAACATATTCCTTAATAAATAAAGGAATATCTGGGCTGTTGGTCACTTGTAGACTTGCTAATGGGAAATTCGTCAATGTTGAGTCCAATTGCCTCCATAGTAGCTTCAATAATAAACACAGAATTCCTCATATTTAACTTACACCTGTCTACAACTGCTACTAACTTCGGAGTAAGGAAATTGTTCCTCATTTAAGTTTCATTAGAATTTGAATATACGCTGTCGGTGGGGATGGGCAAACGTTGACGTTTTTGATTTTCGAATTCTTAGGAAGTTCGCTTTTTCGTCCCGGTCGGTTAACTTTTTCTCCAGCTAAGTGACCAGGTTTACCTGGCCCTTTTTGGAGCTGCAAGAAGATCCTAACTTAATTTATCTCTAATTGAAGCGCATCGATGTGTGCAATATCGAACAAATTGTTCAAGTTTGTAACAACTCTTGTCTACGCTTTTCGAATATGTCTTGGGTTTTGTCACATTCTTTGTAGATCTTGCCAAACCTGGTGTAAAATTAGGTAAAGATTTAGTCAGAATACGTGTCTTTTCCCAAACAATAATGCACTCACGAATATTACGATTTACGCTTTCATTTACACTTTAATTCAGTTCTCGAATATTATTCCACAAATCTGCCAATACTTGCTCTGTAGAGGTAAGTTTTGACCCGGTGATTTTAAGTTTTACATACCCAATAAAAAAATCCCCTTTTTGGATCTGCGTAATCTCTCTCACATTTTGAACAAACGATAATAATGCATTAAAAAATAAAAGAAACAAGTAATATCAAGCACTACGAAATGTTATGTATCGACGATGGTCGGCACGGGTTACCGTGGTTCTAGGTACATGAAATTTTATTTACATGTGTTTTAGCACCATTCGCGTAAAACGACTTTGATTTTTTGGGACACCCTAGTGTGTGTATAACAAAGTCATTGACAGGCAAATCAAAGACAGGCGCGCGGGGCCTCGCCGCTTACAGCTAATCGAAGCTGCCAAGACGACCGGGAAGTTTGTTTTATTAAAAAAATGTTAGTAATGAATATAGAAAGAAGCCACATTTCAGTTATTAGTATTCACTGTTAAAATAACTTACTGGAATATTTTTTGAAACACCGGCAGGGACAGTCGTTGCAGTAATTATAATCGTTTCGCCACTTATAATGTTAGATATGGGTGTTAATACCTGGAACAAACAGCAATAAAATCTCTTTAATACCAGTAAGTATAATAATGAAAATAAATAACGACGAAAAATAAATAATTAGGTATTTAAATATTTATTTGAAAAAGAAACGACTTACGTAAATGAACAGAGAAAAATTCTACTCCCTTTATTACAAAACAAGATTTATTTTTAGTCTACATTTAAACCATTGAGTGAGGTTTTGAATTTTGAATCTTATTCTCATCTACCTTCAATTCGAAATACAAAAACTGGCTCCATTATTTAGACTAAAGAAAACCCTTGTTTTGTAAAAATAGACCTTACTACAGTATGACACCGACGTATCTTTGCGAGTCTGAAGTTAGCCGTTTGTCTGCGCAATGGATCTTTTAGGAACAAAATTGTGTACTCCGCAGCTAATCGGCTAACTTCAGACTCGCCAAGATACGTTGGCGGTATTGAAGCTTCGTGCCACCAAGGGGCTCCTGAGCCAATTTTGTTGCGCGACGTCGCCGAAACTTGTATTAATTTTCCGACTTCAATCACGTAAGTAAGTCGTATTGTCAATAAATTTAGTAGGTATGTCTTTAAAGATCATAAATGTTAGTTTCTGATTAGCAAATGTTGCTTACCTCTGAAACTGCATCTTTGTTTATTTCATAAGCCAAACCCGAACAAGCGTGGGCAATTTCGCTATACACATCCTTGAGTTTATCTACCCAGTCGTCACCCAACTTGCAAGGTTTTTCAGTAGACACAAAAGAAATCTGTAATAAAAATAGTACGGAGCATAAAATTTAATTATTCGACAGTTTCCTTGCAGCAGAACGATAAATAACTGGACGGCCATATATTAAGTACTTATTTCTATAGGACAAAATGCGGGGCATCAAGCATATTCAAAAACCTTATGTATTCTGAATCCATTATCTTTGTCTGGATAAATCATCAAATATCTTCTCCCGCTCAGGGTTAGGCGAGAGAGAGTGTCAGACTCTTACTAAGTAAACCCCCCCCCCCCCCCCGTTCCTTCTCCTGCTCTGGGCCGAGGCCGCGTTGACTCATTGCGCTTAACCCGCAACCCGATGTGTTCTGAATCCTAACATCACTAATAAGGAAACTACAGGACCATATTATGATACCAATTGAGAAAAATGAGTGTGGGAGAGCCACGCTTCGGCACGAATGGGTCGGCTCGATTGGAGTGATACCAAGGCTTCACAGAAAACCGGCGTGAAACAACGTGTTTTGCCGTGTGAGTGAGGTGACCGGAGGCCCAATCCTTTCCCTCCCCGAATCCCTCTTCATTCCCAATATCTCCAAATCACAAATCCCAAAAAGTTGGCAACGCACTCGTAACTCCTCCGTCGTTGTGGTTGTCCATGGGCTGTACTGATTGCTTACCATCAGGGAATCCGTGTGCTCGTATGCCGATCCATTACGTAAAATAAAAATTCAATACATCTAATACCCAAACAACTAAATGGTCTGAACATTAGGTTTTCATTAATCAATCAGTCTGCTTGTTCGCCACCCTATCCCAAAGTAAATAGGCCTGTGTCGTAAATTTCAAAAGTGGCTTATTTTCATAGTTTAGTACCTGTATTACCCCAAAAAATAATAAGTATTTCATGATAAAAATTGTGTTTAAAAAACATATTTTAAGTTAGAATAAGATATTCAATCATAAATTATGCTTTTTATCCATAAATTTAGGTCAAGTGCTGCTTGTTCGAAAATATTAAGTAAAAGTAAAAGTAACAGCCCTGGGTATCAACGCAGGAGTAGGCTAATACATCAGCGGGTGGCCTTAGATAACTTACTGTGTATATTTTACTGTGATGGCAGTTTATGCTAGTATTAGTGGAAATAACACTCTCAACTTGTCGAAAAATGATAATAATAGAAAAAAACGAAGTGACTTGTGCAGTTGTATGAAAATCTTAATCAAACGTCAACAACAAGAATGGCGCATATCACCATGTGACGTAGGTAATACGTTCTAATCGGCGTTCACGGCGGAGGGGCAAGGGGTGTTTTTTTTATTTTGTATTTGTAAAAATAACAATAATCATATTTATTTATGAGGAATTATTTCGGTTTTTCATGATTAAACATTACAATTTGGTTACGCCTAGAAACATACATCCATTGGTTTCGTTGTTAGTTGACACAAGCCTATTGTTACACTTTGTACCTGAGATTGCTTTTCCTGACACAGGTCTTTGACAATGTCAGCATCTTCAAAGTCTTTGGCAAAAGTATCGGTGAATACAAAAATATAGGAACCCGGATTACTTTCTTTCAACGCTGTGGTCAATGCATGTATGGTAAGTTCTTGACAGTCAACGGAAGATAATGTACTGCTTGGATAAACTTCTTTCAATGCTTTCTCAAAATCGTCTCGATTTCCAGCCACCGGTTTTACATGTGCAACTGAAATTAATGGATATTATTATTATGTTGATGTTAGTGAAGTTCGATAAGTAAACTATAGTGTAGGTGGGGAGTAAATTAGGACTCACTTAATATAATTAACAGTTTAATGTTCAAGAAACAATTTTGCACATAGATTATTAAACATAATTCACTTAAATCTAAATTTTACATGATTGGAGCGCGAGAGTTGCCGTTTCGAATGTCTGGCGGCCATTTGTCAACTCTCTAGCGCGCTCTCGCGGACAACGTCGGAAGGAAGCCTTTAGTTGCCAGCGCATACCATTACGCTTTATGTATAACACTATGTTTTGTAGTTCAGACAGTTATTTACCATAATGTATATAAGTACCTACATGCTACTCAGTTCTACTCGTCCTACCGATAATGGAGCATTGAGCAATGGACAATAAGTTTGTACTCATTGTATATAAGCATTCGCCCAAAACTTGATAAAAATGTCTACCTAATATTGTTAAAAAGTAAGCTCCATTTCAATCTAGGGTATCACCTATCTACATAATAGATTTCAACGAAATCGGTCCAGAGGTTTTTGCGTTAAAAGAATAACAAACATATATGTGTGTATAGATATTAGATATACATTCTTACAAAGCTTTACTTTTATAAATATCAGTAGCTCTAGTTATAATAGGATTTTTTTAACATTCAATGTTTAAACAAGGGTTCACTGTTGTTAAAAAGAATATAGGTATGTATAAAGTGGAAAGTGTTTTTTGTTCCACTTTAGGCAAACATTTAGGAATGAGCCTAACTTGCTGCTTGACTTTAATGACGTATGTATTTAAGTGTGGATTATTTCGATTTTTAAGTGTGGGAGAGCAATGCTTCGGCACGAATGGGTCGGCTCGACCGGAGTGATACCACGGCCTCGCAGTAAACCGGCGTGAAACAACCATAGCGTTGTATTTTGCCGTGTAAGTGAGGTCACCGGAGGCCCAATCCTTCCCCTCCCCCAATCCCTCTCCAATCCTTAAATCTCCAAATCCCTAAAAAGTCGGCAACGCACTCGTAACTCCTCCATTGCGGGTGTCCATGGGCGGCGCTGATTGCTTACCAGCAGATAATCCGTCTGCTCGTTGAGCAGTCCGACCTGTTCCACAAAAAATATAATTTTCACACAACCATGCGCAAGCGGTGAGAGGGAGTGTCAGATTCTTACAGTTCTTACTTTACTCCAAAAACTACCTCGACCCCACTTGTGCTCTTTCACCCGCTGTCCTGGCCAAAGCGTGTATTGACTTTCCCCCATCTGACCTATACTTCCGTTATTGTATTGTTTTAGTCAATAACTTCGTTCTTGTATATCATCATCAGCTTATAAGCCTGCTGAGCAAAGGCCTCTTCTCATACGGAGAAGGTAAGAGCATTAATCACCACGCTTGCTCAATGCGAGTTGGCGATTTCAAACTTAAAATTAGAAATTATAAGTCCAGGTTTCCTCACGATGTTTACCTTCACCGTATGTCAGTGGTGTCTAAATAATCATAGAAAGTACATATAACTTGGAAAAAGTCACATTGGTACTTGCCAATTTCGAACCCACACCCTCATATATCCGCCAAATTAGTGCGGAATGAGCTCCGGCGAGATCTCATGGCTGAGAGGAAGCAGCGACTGTCGCAACCGAGGGCCGGGTACGCTACTATAGCAGTGGTAAGACCACTCTTTGAGGAGTGGCTTGAAAGACGCCACGGCGTAAGGGCAGCTCGCCGCCCGACCAGAACCAGGCCCGAGCGTACGGCGCGTAGCGTTCAGCGCGCGCCTCAAAGAGCCAACAGACCACCACAGACGGGGCCCTAAAGGGCTGATGTACAGCCGGGGTTGCGGGGTAAGCGCAATGAGGCACCGCGACCTCGGCACAGAGCAGGTGAAGGAACAGGGGGGTTTTAGTCAGTAAGAGTCTGACACTCCCTCCTGCCCGGCCTTGGGCGGGAGAATTCATTGGATGATTTTCACCTCATCAAAAAAAAAAACCCTCATATATCGTTTTTGAATACATATAAAACTTGTTTTTTTACTTTTATTATAATATTCTATCCTCCTCAAAAGAAAAGTTTTGCCTTAAAGTAGTCCCCAAACACGATTACCTACCCAATGTTGTAATAAATCGCACTTTTAGTTACCTATAGAAACTGACCAACGTTTATATTGCTATTATTTTAAAATGCATAAATATACTATATTCATATTTAATTCTATAAATATATTTTGACTTTTAAATACCTGAGCTGTTGAATGTGACGAGCACGATGTTGCTGATCACGCTGGACTTGCCATTGAACACAATGTCCTTGATCTCGTTCAAGTTGTTTTTAATTTGATCTACATCTTTCCTCATCGACGTATTATCATCTATTACAAAGGCCAAACTCCCTTTCTCAGTGCATGATGCTTTCATAACAACATCAGCGAACACCAGCAATACCGCCAGCGGATAAATCCGCCGCAACATTTTCACAAATAATTTAATAACAAACTGAATAATTAAATTACACTTTCATCCATAAACCATGTATACTATGTGAGACCGCAAAAACAAAATAACATAATCATATTCATATTTATAGAATCGTAAATATAGTTACAATAATATGTATTATATATTTAGAGGTATTTTCCTTTTATTGTCCGTTTCACATGTTTTATATTTTTACTGTTGTAAAGCAATATGTAAATCAAACTAAATTAATAAGGAACGTTTTGTCATTTGGTTTAAGCTCGTGATAATTGCAGAATATATAGAAATACATTTTTACCTTCTCTTGGTTTTTCCGTGGGTGTTATTAGACCAAACATCATGGATAAACCTGAACCTAACCTTTTAAATTCCGATTTTAAAGCCACCGGCGATTTACCTTTTGTATGTATCTGGCCTTACCTATGCCAAGCTATGGTGCAAAGCGAGATAAACTGGGAAGCCGTCTCCTCTTTCTGCGAAAAAGTGATCCTCGCAAAGAAGAAGGCGAAGTGCGTGAGGGAACTATCCTCCTCACGCCGCAGCGGGAGACATTCCGTGTATCGGGGGTTGTGTGAAGAGCGAACAAGGTGGCGCAAGGGGTGTAGCGCTCGGCGCGCGAACTCAGATAGCGCCTAGGGATATTATTTTTATTCAGTTAGGAACTCTACTCTACTCTAACGAACAAAGTTTGTTCGGCGGCCTCGGCCTGGAGCAGTATAAGTACGAGGTATCTTTTAGTCAGTAAAAGTCTGATAAAGTCTGATTGGGAAGTGTGGGAGAACCAAGTTTCGGCACGAATGGGTCGGCTCGACCGGAGTGATACCACGGCCTCATACCGGCGTGAAACAACCACACACAGGGGCCGTGTGAGTGAGGTTACCGGAGGCCCAATCCCGCCTTCCCCTATACCTTTCTGATCCTTATATCTGCAACCCCTATCCCCAAAAGGCGGGCAACGCACTCGTAATTCCTTTGGTGTTGCGGATGTCCATGGGCAGCGCCGATTACCCTCAGGTAATCCGTCTGATAGTTTGCCGACTTATACCATAAAAAAATACTCTTTCTCACCTCACCCTGAGTGAGAGCCAAAAATAATCCCGCCATTTATATAAGGTAAATTAAGTTCCGATTGAGAAGTGAATAATGATTGGTTTACAAATGAAGCAGGTACACACGTTTGTTTGCCTGCACGACTATTATAATTTATAGTACTGTAGTTATTCCCTAATTAACTAATCAAATTTATTAAAGTCCTTAAGCGAGACGTTTGTTTTCGTCAGTTATTTCCTCTTAATCGGTAACTCATAGAAGTAAAATGTTTCATAAACAGTATTTACAGTAGTTGTGTATTTTTTTATTTTTTCTCCGATAGTAGTTAGATACTTCAATCTGTATTATTAAAAAAACACGGACAAAAACAGGATTTGTATATGTATAATATAATGTTGGCAGTTTGGATCTGACATATGCTAAGAGTCTTGGTGAGACTGGATGTTCTAGGATTTTGTCAGATAATTGGTTCGAGGTAGGTAGTCAATGACGTAGGTCTGGTTCATTTATTGAATCTTTAATTAAAATTAAACACAAAAATATTATACCAATTTATTGAGGTGCACAAAGAAAATATTTGCTTCAGTTTTGTATAGATATGTGATGGGGACGATATATTTATACATCATGTTATATTGACTCTCTCTTTACTTCTTTGAGTTCTGAGTACTTAGTGTGAGTCTGCTTTACATTAAGATTGTTGAGACGCTAATGATGTTCAGTGCTCTGATTGAGGTATTCAACGAAGCACACCCAGACGAAGCCCACCTAAAGTATTCCACTTAGCACACCCATAGGTGGGCTTCAAATAAAAATTTTAAATAATTAATTTTCTATTCCACGAAGCACACCTACGAATATCACTCGCATAGTGCGGGGACTAAGGAATAAAATTGTCGATAGAAGAAAATATTTATTATTTAAAAGACTTACTTAAATTTCTAACATCATTCAGTTTCATTATACTAACTTTTATATAACTAATAGAACTTTAATAGTATAAAAAAACCTTCTTGGAAGCGGATTCGAAATGTGGTGTAATAAAAAAGTGAATATGATGTTATTGGCAACAATAACTGAAATTAAATCACCACACATTCGTGCATCATTAAGGCATATCAATTCCAATAAAATAAGAGTGAAAATGTGCATGATGAAAAAGTAAATTAACTATATTTATAATTAAAATAGGTTCGAATGCTTAATATTCAGCACAAGTAATAAATGACAGCGCGCGCTGTCTTCAAACGCGAGGTCAACTATGGTAAACAACTGGCGCCGCCCATGGATACTCGCAATATCAAAAGTGTTACAAGTGCTTTGCCATTTCCATGGGTTATAAGGGATATAAGAAACAGTAATTCGAGGGTAGAAACAAGCGTTATTTTACGCCGGTCTTCTCCGGGACCAACGATTATACGACATCACTATAGCCCATTCGTGCCGGAGCCCTTGCAGCAGCAGGTCCCTTAACATTTTTATATTACATCAATAAAAAATACACACAAATAAGTTGTATGAGTGACAATGCACATAATTATGTTACCTATGTATGTCAATTTGAGTTACAAATAGTGATAAATAAATAACAAGAAGAAGTAAAAACAGACTTCAAAAGACTCCAGAAGACCTCCAGATTTGAACCAGCCTGTTAATCGTCCAGATTTATTTGTTAAAAGAATGCATTGCAGATCCGAAAGTTTATGGGTTTCCGCCTCCACTACAAACATGTCTTCCTTAAAACAATTAGCTTTTATTTCAGATTTCGTTGGGAATTTACTAAAATAATTTGGAGCATCTGTGCGATTCGGACAGTACAGTGTAATCACTTCGTCTCGTTCTATCACAAAGAAATATTTCAACGTCTTCTTTCTGGGCCAAGTTCCATCTTCGGTGACTATGACTGGCATGTATTCGGCGTAAACCGAGTTTTTGGGTAACAAACATACTGCAACAAAGATAATATTAATAATGTTTTACCTGAACCTTTATGGTAAGAGTTACTTTTCCAGTGAACGTAATGTTTCAGGATTATATTATTTTTACTATAATGAACCAGTACTATCTACCGTACCAATAATATCTAGTGATTTCATCATATTTTTGTAATAGCAACTGCGATCAGAATTATCATAGAAATCGGACATATTCTCAAAGCTTGATCACTTTACATAATTATAAGCGTAAGTAATATTAATTAATTTTAATAGCTATTTACAAATAAAAAAGATAATACAATAAGTAATTTTATTAATTGTTATCAAATCCTTATTATTCCGATTCCAAAATCTTGAATATGTTAGTACTTACATGATAAGCATATGTGATATCTAGTTGATACAAATTGAGTAATATTTTTATGTATAAAGTATTTTAATCCACAGTTATGTTACATAAGACAAATTAGAAAATATTAGTGTGCAAGGGGCGATCTCTTACAGACAACCTTTGATTGAAAATGTAATAAGAGTTTGAATATAGAACGTCAAGTCAGTCAACATATTCTTTAATCAAATTTACTAACACCCGGTTTCTGAAAGGCTTGTCAACGCTAAAATTAAGTAATCTCCTGTTAAATCTCTTGTCTAGTCATCTGATTGGTTGTTGATAATTCAGTCAACCAATCAGATGACTTGACAAGAGATTAAATTGATTTTAACATTGATCGGCCTTTCGGAAACCGGGTGTTAGTACAATTTAGCTATCCAGACATTGATAAGCTAAGCTCTGCTGTGCACTCATTGCATTCACTCTATCAAAACCAGTTTAACAGTTAATATAAACAAACAAACCAACTTTAAATCTTACCAGAAGAAGACTTTACGTCAAATTCTTTCAATACTGAGCCGTGTGGATTGGAAACGTTGCAAGTGTAATGACCCCAACTGTAGATGACGGCTAAATCTTGCACATCGTTTTCAGGTACCACTCTACCGTTATGTTTCCATTGAACCTGAAAATGATTAAAGTCAGTTCATGAGAGACTAAACTACTAACCTACTTACTGAACCGACTGACTAAAAACCATGCTTTAATGCATTGTTTTATCTCCTGTGCTAAGCCGCAGCGCGCTTGTGCTTAGGTATTTTTTTGTCAGTGTCAGTATTTGAAACATGTTTTTATTCAAAAATCAATTGCCTATAGTAAGGCGCATATCCGACTTGTTAGTCGTAGCTCCATGTCGTATGGTATTCTGAATTCAAATTTAAAAGAATACGATCGAAAAAGATAGTAAAATGTATCAGATTTAAAACTGCATCAACACTTCAACAGGTTTTGTTCAATTAGCAATCATATTTCGGTAGGGGCCATCGAAACCTAAACTCTAAGGTGGGCCAATAGATGTTTCCAGAAGTGTATTATGTTCTATTGGTATTCTATTCTAGAAGTACATAATTATAGTATTGAAAACTTACTTTAGCTTTTGGTTTCGCATCACTATCGCAGTTAGAATGGATTTGTTGTACGTCGCCACGCCAATCATTTAGAGGTATAGTATTGTCTCCCAATAGTTTGGGTGGGCCGCCCACATTCACAATATACGTGTGTGTTTCCGTGTGTCCCTGCTTATCGCTCACATGACATATGTAGTTGCCGTCATTGGAAACTGATGCATTAGTTATTTCAATAAATTTTTTATCCAACTCCCCTTCACTCTGGGAAAGCAAAAATACATTAGAGTGTTCTAACTAAACGGAACAAACAATTTAAGCGACATATAACGAGATAATAGTTAAATCGGTCTCCATCCGTGAAAACTGCATTTATACGAATGATGCTCAAGAATATTTTGTATGGCATCCACCGTGTGTAACGATGACTATCGTATGAGTAGAGATAACTGAATACCGAAACTCTGGAATGTCGACTCAATTTGTTTTTAGTATAGGGTGCATACTTATAATGTTAAAGGGTTTCTTTATGAAAAAATATTTGATTTTATACGTATTGTCATCATACATGGATGCCCCTATGTGTCTATGTATGCATACACCTGTTTATGGCAAATAAATAATTGCACTCTATTCAATGTGTGTTTACACTTACATCAAACCACTTGAGCGACTGAGATTTTGAATGATATGCGTCACATTCGATTTTCTTACTTTCGCCATATAATATGTACACGAAATGTGTTGCTCCGAAAGTACTGGGCCTCTCTGTATAAAATCATAATTATTATTTAGTGAAAATAAAAAACTACAAATATTAATAATATTATCACCATCTTCGCACTTAAGATGCTGATCAGAAAATATAGCAGTCACTCAGATTTTCTTTAAGCAATATTGCGTTTTTATGAACAATTTTGAATTGTAGATATTATAGAACATTTCACATCAGCCTACACGTGCTTACTGGTTAGCAAAGGTCTCTTCTCAGTCGGAGAAGGTTTGAGCATTATTCACCACGCTTGATAAGATTGGCGTTGTCAAACTTGTAATAGAAAAATTATAAGTTCAGGTTTCCTCACGATGTTTCCCTTCACCGTTTATCAGTGGTGCCTAAATATTTATACATACCAACTCAGAAAAAGTCACATTGGTAGGTACTTGGCAGGTTTCGAACCTGCATGCATGAGAAGCGGATATTCTAATCTCCGGGCCACCACGACCACGTAAGAATATTTAGTTGAGTGTATGTATATGCATTACATTTGGTGAAATTATTCAAACTTTAGTTTCAAAGGTACCGATGGCTAAACCATTATGGGAATTTATATTTGAATAATTTTTTATGTCCTCCTAAAGAATGTCTTACTTGCAAATGTAACTTCAATTGTGGCGTTGGTTGATCCAAGATAGTTTTTAGCTTCACAGATGTATTTTCCAATATCGGTTTTATTCGGATTTTGGATAATAAGTGATCCATTATCAATGGAGTATTTTGTATCTGTACCTGAAAATAAAATTATAGAAATAGATGACTTTCTTCCGTCGCCATTAGTACTATTATCAGCTTGAAAAGAAGAGCTCTAGTGAACTTAAGAGAATAAGTAAACTTCACTAAGAGAAGTGGTTGAATTGCTGTAAGGTCAATCACAGTTTAGAAGATGCTTTGTCTCTGGTTTGTATCACAGTCCACTATTTAAAGTATTCATTCAGTTGCGCTCTCTCTTGCATCATCCAGGTCGGAAGAAGCCATTCGATGACTTTTCCACTCAAAAATACCCAAAAGTGTGTATATGTCACCATTAGATTCCAGACTAAATTACCTACAATCTATCTAGTGAGATTGTAAGCTGTCGAAATATTATGAACTGTGAAATGTGATTGCATTTCGTCGCTATATTGTAATCTATCAATGAGATGCATTTCGCGTGCTACATACAGGGTACAAAAAGAAACTTAACGAAGCCGAAAGCCACGTATTCTACCCATTATTTGGATCATTTTTTTCTTTAAGACCATAGCTGTCCCGGCTATGGTCTTAACTAGATTTATTGTATCGTTCTTACTCCTCTTTATCAAATAAGAAAGTGCATTTCTACTTTACATAGAGATATAAAACCTAGATAGGAAGAAAGCTCGTTTGACGTACTTTCCGAATCGATTATAATAAAAATGGCCACCTTCGACTTACTGCTCGATTACCAGGGCAGTGTTATACTGCTTAGTTTTTTAGATTTATTTAAACAGGGTGTAAAAAGACACTTAACGAAGCCGAAAGCCACGTATTCTACCCATTATTTGGATCATTTTTTTCTTTAAGACCATAGCTGGGACTCTACGAGTTCTCGAGATATTGAAGGTCAAAGATGCATTTTTATTTTTTTTTATTTTTGCGCAACCGAATTCTAAGTATTATTACAATTTTTTTTTCCAAACAAACATTACATGAATTTTCGATTTTTCTAATTAAATTACGCATTTGAAGTTACGAACAGTAACGTACGTAATAAATAAATGCAGACCCGCAGGAAAAAAATCGTGCATCTCAGTAGGATTTTTATTTTACAGAATTGTTTTGTTGTTGCGAAGTAAAACGTCGACCTACGTACTTATCACAGCGTTTTAATGCTAAGCTGTGGACCTAAGCACACAATGACACGAAGCCCGTTTGCTTTACATTGCAAGCAATAATTTTTTTTTTTTTGATACCTAAAAATAAAAGTCGTTTCCCAGTGATAATTTTAGCGTAAAGCTACTTATTTAGAATTGCACATTGCATTGCACATTGCATTGTCTTTTTGCACCCTGTATATATTTTTAAAGCTAACCTCTTATAATTGGTAACTTGTTTGCATTTATTCTGTTAACGTGACAAAACCATTTACAAATATCATTCTCAGTGTTTTTCTTGTTATTTAGTGAACATGATACATATATTTTCATCGGATTACAAAGTCTATATTTGAAGTACTTACTAGGCTTAATAATAGTTTCATTTACTTTCCAAGTAACAGCAGGTTGTGGGACCCCTACAACTTCGCAAGGTATTTTTATTGCTATATCACCTTCTATAGCTTCTATTGATTTAGATTTTGTAACAATTTCTGGTTGTGCTGCAAATAAAACAAAAAAAAATAACTGTGAGTTTAAATAAAACCTAATAAAATACTGTCAAAAGCTGTTCAAAGGAAGCGTTGTTTGAACAATATTATTTATTTATTTATTTAATAAAAAGGTTTACCAACAGCTTCTGTGTAGATAACACTTAAAGTACATTTTTTTACATTAACACCCAGTTTCCGAAAGGCCGATTAATGTTAAAATCAATTTAATCTCTTGTCAAGTCATCTGATTGGTTAACTGAATTATCAACAACCAATCAGATGAGTTGACAAGTGATTTAACAGGAGATTAGTTAATTTTAGCGTTGACAAGCCTTTCGGAAACCGGCTGTAGGTAAGCAGGTTAACCAACATTCACAAAATAAAGATAGGATAAGTACCAACAGAACTAAAATGAGTAACATGTATCCAATATTAGAGAACTATACCAAGCTATGCAAATAATGAAACATATATTATTAACGCGAACACAAACAGAATCGAATGATGTTACAGACCTTTGTACATAAATAAAAAAATAAATAAAAAAAATAAAATAAAAAAAATGACAAAAATTTGATGCCATTTACAAAACTACCCACTACTTAAAATTTTAGTGAGAACACCGTGAGATCATGACTTAGTAACTAGATAAGTTTATATAAAAACTATTAAAAGTAGAATTAAAACTAAAACTAAAATAAAATAGAATACTTAATATAGCATTTTACACGAGATGTTGTCGATGTTGCGATCTATGGGATTCCCGTAATTGGGCCCTAAGGATATTATGTGTACCTATATATTATAATTTTTGAGAATTTGTTTGAGAATTAGGGTTTAGGAATTGGGATAAGGCTGGGGAAGGTAGGTATAGCTTCCGGCAACTTCAGTCATACAGTCACACGCACGAAACACATTAAAAACGTTCCACCAGTATTCTGCAAGGCCGAGTTGGTTGTGGGTGATTCTTCGGTACAGCCAGCCCGTTCATAATGAGAAAGATAAGTTGCAAAGCGCGTTGAACTTACATTCCACAGTTAGGCTCGTGAAGTGTTCTGCACTTCCAATTTCGTTTTGTGCCACACATCTGTAGCGACCTGTGTGGTTGTTTTCTGCCTTCGCAATATGTATCACCTCCCCCGTTTCGGCAATAGTGGTGAAATTTTTATCCGAGATTTCCATAAACCATGTTATGTTCGGCTTTGGCCAACCTTCGACAATCCTGCCAAATTTGCAGTGTGATACATATAAAAGGAATAGGATTAGATTGATTTCATAAAACACCAGAATATAAATTAGAAACTTGACAACGATGCATTTTACCTGCATTCTATGTCAACTGGCATTCCAAGAATAACTTTTTTGGCATCCACTCCTGCTAATTGTGGTTTTTCTGTGAAACATTTAATTCATTTCAATATATATATATCCTTTGACATAATTACTATCAATCCAAGTAAGCGTTAATCCTAATGATAAACGCTAAAGTTCCAATTTCTCGTAAAAACTAATAATTAAAGTTGAATGAAATTTTACACATTTATGGTCTGGGATAACACACGAGGTATTTTTTACTTGTTGACGTAAATACGTCGCTGGCAGAAGCTTAATTAATAATAATTTTATTTAAACGCTGCTAAAAATACTTTACAAGAATAAATACTTATATCTTTCACTAAAAAGTTTTATACACACGTCGCGTTAAATAAATAATATATTAGGAATGCTTGACCACTGGGGGCTAGACAGAGACAGAGCTAGACAACTTATATAGCCCTTTCTCTTACCCACTCTGAAATAAGATTAAAACAGTCTTACTTTGAATGTCATGGTTGGTTGAAATACCGTGCGAAGTGGGGACGGTCCGCTAGTATTAGAATAAAATGATTCATTCAAATTAGCGTCTGCTGCTATTAGATATTTTAGGAAAAGTGGTAAAACTTCTACTGTTTATTATGGACCAAAGTTTATATTCAATTTATCAATGAGGTAAATATACCTTGAACAATTAATGTTGTAACCTTTTCATCTTTATCTAGTACGTTTTCTGCCAAACACTTGTATTGACCTTCATTATTCCGTTTGGCGTTTGTAATAAGAAGTGTGCTCTCAGTCCCAGCTGGTGAACGCACAGTGACCTTTGATCCAGAATTGTCTTCGTAGTGCCATTCAATACTTGGCATTGGTACTCCACTAACACTTCACAAAAAGAAAATTGTGATTAATAGGAATCATTATGATGGCGGTAAATGCCATCAGACTCGTTTTTTAAAGGAGGAATTGTGACCGAATGATTCCCTCCTCCTGGACTAACGCGAGAAAGAGTGTCAGACTCGTAATGACTGTAGAGTCGAAGGTAAAGCAAAATGACAAATCGTGGCCTACCCAGCAGGAGAACGAACAGGGTGTTTTTTAGTGAGTAAGAGTCTAAAATTCCCTCCACGGAGAGTTAATTGACCTCCCCCCTATCTCAAAGAGTCAAAAGACCAGACCAGACAAAAGATTTCCTGCTCGGATGCCGGCTGTGCTATGCCAATCCTTTTATTTTAATTTTAATTAAAGTCAATATATGAATTGAGAGCATTACTTTGGAACAAATAATTTGTAAACATTGAATAGAACTAAACTATAAATCGAGTTAAGTTAAAGTTGAGTGCGTACTTACTTGCATTTTAAGACAGCGGTTGAACCTTTTACCACTGTTACTTTGCTCTGTGCTTGTACATTCGGTACAACTAAAAAATAAATTAATCAAATTGTGAGACAATTTGGAAAAGTCATTAACTCATTGAGTATTTTCATTGACACCAAGAGTAGGCGCATAGTGTTTGGTTAGTTTATAAAATTTTGCACACTTACCCAAACCAGTTACTTCAACTAGTTTACTAAAATCCTTTTTAACATCTTTGTTGTGTTTTAAGTAAACGTTGCATACATACTTTCCAGTTAAATATAAATCCATTTTGATTATTGTTAGTTCGGTTTTGTCTACTGATATTGAGTAGTCGTTAGAATCTGTTAGTTTTTTTTTAATTCCAGCCATATCATCCACATGATACCAATGAATATCCATGGGTAGTGTCGATTTGATGTCACATTTTAAGGCGCCCGACTTGCCGTATGGCACTTTCAAACCTAAGAAATTTATAATTGAATTACATAAAATGATTAGGTTTATCTACTTGAACTTTGAAGTAGTTTAGATTATTTGACTAAAGAAATAACAGGCGTTTACAATTATTATGACTTATATTAAAATATGACAATTTAAATAGACCAATGAATATACATAATAACGAAGAAACATAATTAGATTTTTTGTTGGTTTATTCGTAACTAAAGTTTTTTTTTATGTAAGAGGTCGGCAAACGAGCAGACGGATTACCTAATGGTAAGCAATCAGCGCCGCCCATGGACACTCGCAACGGAGGAGTTACGAGTGCGTTACCGCTTTAGGGATTAGGGATTTGGAGATTTAGGGATTGGGGAAGGGGAAGGATTGCGCCTCCGGTAACCTCACTCACACGGCGAAACACAACGCTGTGGTTGTTTCACGCCAGTTTTCTGTGAGGCCGTGTTATCACTCCGGTCGAGCCGATCCATTCGTGCCCACACTTAGTTTATCGCTATCTCGCCAGGTGGTTAGCAATGATGCGAACTACGTTAAAACATTACCCATTAGCAGCCTATTCACTACAGCCTTGAAAACCCCCAAATACATATTAAATTTCTTAACATTTCAACATCACCCTAATGTTATTGTTTTCTCTTAAGGAATGGTACCAGGCATCAAATCCTCCAATGTACGCTTCTTATCAATTTGTGTACTTTTTTGAAAATTACGATTCAGTCACCTGACTTGACTGAGAAAAATTTTAATAGTTTTAAATCACAATGGGACTCTTATTTACAGTGATAGTAGAATTAAATTGTAGAACATATATGTCTGCTCCACGTGAATAGGTCGTTACTTTTTGATGTATAAATATTGTTTTTTTTTTTGGGCTTACATAACCAAATCAGTTATTATAAAATGTAGGTACGGCTTAAACTTACGCTTAGGAGTATTAACCACAGTAAAAGGATCTTTTACTTCGACTCTAATTGATGAGTTTTTCAGTCCTATGTCATTAATTACAGAGCACATATAGCTATCTGCTTTTGCGACAGGCATTTCCAGGTAGCTTATATACTCGTACGGGTATTCAATCATTGAAGTCTGAAAGTTTTTAACATAGAATTATTGTCTTATGACTCTTATAAGGGATTTCTTGATAGGGGAAAATCATCAAATACTTCTCTCGACCAGGTTGAGATGAGAGTTAGTGCTGCTCTTGCTGAGTTCTGTTCTTTCTTCTGCTCCGGGCCGCGGTACCTTATAACGCTAACTGTCAACTCCCTTTGGCCCTATCTGGGTCTATAAGTACTCTGAGTTCCAGGCTTATATAAAATAATTGTTAGTTAATGTATAAATGGAAGATTCAACGACAATAACAAATCAACGGGCGAAGGCATTAATCTTACAACGCGTAAATGGAGTACCTATTCACGCCAATTAATATGTATAGAAAAAGCCAACATACAAGTGTAACGACCCGACAGACATGATCACCTTGCCTCGTCTAAGGATTTTCCATTTTCTATGTTAAGGAACTTTATTCTCTGTTCACCAAATATCTTTTGTTAAACTTGATGGGAAAATCAAAGAAATAGAATGAGATCTCTGTCAGTCATGACTTGTCTTAATTATTCAGGTTAAATAGGGTTATTATTTTTAATTTTAACATTCAATTTTGTGTTGACACTTTCGGCTACGCAAGAATCCTTGAATAGTTAACAACACTAAAAGTCAACAATATTAAAAAAAAACCTTATCAGCATTTATAAGAGTATTTTAAACGAACTAGCTTTTGTTCTTTAGTGTGTAGTTCTAATATGGCTAGCTGTTAATCTGAAAACTATACTCGGAATTTAATTTGATTTCAGATTTGACAATTTCAGTGTTGCAACGTTATGACCAGTACTAAATAGTGACGTTGCGAAATTATTCGATATGGAAATGGAATATTTCCGGACCGATTCCTCTCGTTTATAAATCTACTCTCGTAAACGAAGTATATTAGGAAATTAAATAAATATTTCTGTTTGATTTTGTTTAAAGTTTACAGTTTGACAATTAATTAACGACCTGAGACTTTACTTTTATAATTGTGTGTGAAATAAATAAAAAAATGTGATCATGCGGGAACATGACAAATAACACAGATAGATGTATAAAGGTAATAAATTATTACCATAATACATCTATCTATAAATAATGGCCGTCATCGCTATTGCTGTCACTTTCTGTAAAATTTATTATGAATTATGTGTCTGTGATATTTATTGTCAATTAACACATCTAGCTTACTCATTTTTTCCTCTTCTTTGACAACATGGGATACGCATATAGAACATTCAGTAGCCGTATTTTTTTTAATACCTCCCTAAAACTGAATTACTGATTGTTTATCGATTTTTTTGTTCATCACTACACTGTTATATGTGGTATCATTATTTCACAAAATGACAGTAGCTAATGTCAAATCTGGAATCGAATTAAAATTCTGACTATAGCTCATATGGTTACTGTACTCGTTAGGTTTTATATGACGATTTATCTTATATTCTACTATAATTGTACCAGTACTATATACCAGTATGCAATAAAATAGGTAGAGCTTCCATGCACGGGTAAGCATGTATAGTTATCACTTACATTAGAAGCTAAATGTTGTCCCTGTTTGTTGAGCCAAGATATTTTTGGTATGGGAAAGGCAGTTACTTTGCAAGTTAATTTCAAGGAACTGTTGTATTCTACAGACATTTCTTTGCCTTCAGCAATCATCACTGTAAGGGCTTGATTGTCGGGTAATTCTGGAAATAATTTTAATATGTGTTTAATTGTTAAATTACGTTATAGCAAATCTGACAGATGTGAACATTCAGAAGTTATCTCAAAGATTTTCTAAGTATCTGGCAGCCAGTTGTCCAGCACCGCACCTAGATTGCAATCAAATGTTATCTTTAGATAGGTATGGTCGAAGGTTAAAATCTAGTCATCGGTATTAGGTATAAGGAAAAAAAGGAAAAGAAAAAACGTCTGTAGACGTTTTTTCATTTATAAGCATACTACCTACTCTTGCACGGTTTCACCCGCTGCTCGGCTCCATTTAATAGTAGCTTGATGTTTTATAGTATATAGTACTCGGAAACATTGCAGCTATCTATCAGTGAAAGAATTTTGGAAATCCGACCAGCAGTTACAAAGATTACCCCCTACATACAAACTTACAAATATTACCTCTTTTTCTTAAAACTCCGTTCGTCCTCCAAAGTTTAGTTTGTGCATCAGTCATTAAGAACAAATAATTGATCCGCATAAAATATTACTTACTTATTGGCGTAATAGGAATCTTTGTGAATCGCTTGATACTCTGGCCCGTTGCATTCAATTTCCCAATCACCTAAATTACATACAATATTTTATTAAGTATTATTGGTAACATTTTTTTTTCTAATAGATCTCCATTTATTATTGTAAAACGGTATTAAACGTAAGAATAGTTTACAATCAAGACATATTTTGTGCCTTTTTTTTTCATTATTCTTTAAGAGGAATAACACAAAAAACAAAAAGTCCCGTCAAAGAATTGATAGAAAAAATTATTGGCAATTCTAATGTTAAAATAAATATTTAAAATATAACATTATAAAAGCTACCGGATCACAATACATGATTTTAAAAATTTACATTATAGTGCAAATTATAATAGAAAATATAAAAAAAAAATCCAGCCAAAATATATAATTTTATATGAAAATTATTTTTACATGAATCATCATCATTATCAGCCTATATATTCACACTGCTGAGCAAAGTCCTCTTCTCACACAGAGAAGGTTTGAGCATTAATCACCACGCTTGCTCAATGCGGGTTGGCGATTTCAAACTTATAATTAGAAATTATAAGTCCAGGTTTCCTCACGATGTTTACCGTCTTCGTATGTCAGTTGTGTCTAAATAACCATAGAAAGTACATATAACTTGAAAAAAGTCACTTTAGTACTTGCCAGGTTTTCATCCCATACCCTCATGCATGAGAAGCGGGTGCCTTAACTTCGGGGCCACCACGACCTCTTATGAATTTCCTTTGACCTTTACATGAATGAATAATCAATACTTACCACTATTTTGAACATTTGTGTAGGCGTAACTAAGGGTGAAGTAACATAAAAATCTTTAGAAACTTTTGTCAAAGTAAGGTTCGGTGTGATCTGTTTGTCGTTCATTCCTAAGATCTGAGCTTCTGTTATTTCCACTTGTTGGTGTTTATCAGAAACTAATATCGACAAGTGGACTTTTGCATCTGGAAGAAAACATAATGCCTATTAATTTGACACATGTATATGTAATATGAAATTTATACAGAGTGAAATTGAATAGATGCGACAAATTTCAACATATAGTACAATAATACGTGTTGTCAAGAAAATTTAGAACATATCAAATGTAAAATTAATTAACTTTTATTAGTATCACGGTGAGGTAAATGATCGCTATGAACGGCAACCCTTAAATAACATGCAGCACTGCGTTATGTCGGACGAGATTTCTTGTTTATTTATTTTTTTCTTATTTATTTTCAATATTAATTATTTTTCTGGAATACTGATAATTCGTACTTAAATAAAGATAACAATGTCAATGGACCATTTTAAAACGATAATTACGTCATTTTATTTATGGTCTTAGATTTTAGAAAAACAGTTTATAATTACTATGTTATTGTAACTGAAGCTCAAATTTAATTTTGTCGCATTTATTCGATTTCAGCCTGTATAATAGTTGACTTCCTCATGTGAATCAACTTAGACAAAATTTACTACGTAGGCTACATTTTTTCCAAAACTTGTGCGAAGCTAATACCCTGTAAAAAAGAAGCACCTACGCCTTTTTATTGAAATAATAGAATCAATAACTCACTAGCTATTGGTTGGAGAAACGTGTCGTTAATTGACTGAGGCTTCAGCTCTGAGAAACCATGTTTAAAAATAAACTCTGATCTGCCCACTAGCATGAGTGAGGTCTTCTTTTCACTAAACACTGATAAGGTGTACTTGCCAGGTGTCTTTTTTACAATCTTGTCAACCTAAAAACAAATTAGTAACGTGTTTTATATATACACACACAAACGAAAGCGTTTAGAAATTAAATAATTAAGTTTTTATATAGTTATTTATGTTTCGAAAATAAAAATTAACTAAAAATCGCGGGTTACTCACGTGTATATATTGAGAACAGCTCTATTAGTAGAAAAGCTCTCTAGAGTAGTAGTCTCTCTAGGCTGCGCGACGTCGCCGCGTCCGCGCACGCTGCTCATGAGGAAGAACCCCTCTGTGGTTCGAAACTAGTAGAGCTTTTCTCAATATATACACGTGAGTAACCCGAGATTTTTAGTTAATTTGGTATGTCTCACAATAGTTATTTAAAAAAACATAGAAAATTAAAACTAAATAGTTTATTATTACAGTATCTTTTTTTTTTGTTGAGAGGCTCATCTCAATTATTATGAAATCTGTCGCCAACAGAGGAACTATCTGACTTTTACTGATTAAGACCCACCCCGTTACTTTTCTTGCTCCAGTTCGAGGCCGTGGTACGATTACACTTGAAACTTTAAATAACTGTTTATTGAAAGTCAGGCCATTCTAAGTCAAATAAAATTGTAATTTGTTGTGAAAACTAAAATTAAAATAATAATATCTGTATCTATTTTATTCGAAAACTCTTAATATCTATCATCATACCTCTTTGAAGTACAGTTACATAGTAAAATAAGAATAAAAAAAACCAATGAAAATAAACTCAAACATATAAATTTATTGTCATGCAATGTCATCGTAGAATGTTTTCAAAAAAACTTATGACATTATCTACCATCAGCTTTCTGGCGGAAGAAGTGGTCTAACATAGAATTATGAGGACGGTATCTTTATGGGGACATAATTATGTGTGTTTGTTATTATTTGGTATGTAAGTTTGTTTTTGGTGCAAAAATGTCCTATGCAATACTTACTTTACAATTCTCTTCATCAACGATTGTGGACTTGAGGTCCCACCAAGCCTTGTACCTCTTTGTTGATTGCCATGCAAATTTCACGTTTTTGCCAACCGTAGAGACGATATAGAATTCAGTCAGCTTATCTACTTCGAACTGAAACAAGGGATACATATTTATTAATATTTTTATACTTTTTCATATCATATACAATATTCCACTTTTCGTTGTAATGTTTATAAGTTTATAACTCAACAATGCCTTTACCGATTCGACTAATATTGCTCTTGAATTATTCGTGGAAGTCCACGGAACGTTTAAAAGGCCAAAACAAATAGTACGAATAGAGACGGTACGGAGTTTATCAGGTAGCTAGTATCAGTATAGATACCACCCGAATGAGAATCAAGTTAAAACCAACCAAATCAAACTTATCAAAAGCGCGCATAAACGACAACAACCTTATGATAAACAATTTGAAGAATTATAATATACAGGGTGTAAAAAGACACTTAACGAAGCCGTTAACTACGCATACTGCAGTTCTAACTAAGTAGCTTTACGCTAAAATTATCACTGGGAAACGACTTTTATTTTTATTGCGCGCAATGTAAAGCAAACGGGCTTCGTGTCATTGTGTGCGTAGGTTCACAGCTTAGCATTAATACGCTGTGATAAGTATGTACATCGACGTTTTACTTCGCAACAACAAAACAATTCTGTAAAATAAAAATCCTACTAAGATGCACGATGTTTTTTGTGCGGGTCTCCATTTATTTATTACGTACCTACATTACTGTTCGTAACTTCAAATGCGTAATTTATTTAGAAAAATCGAAAATTCAGGTAATGTTTGTTTGGAAAAAAGTTTTGTAATAATACTTAGAATTCGATTGCGCAAAAAAAAAATGCATCTTTGACCTTCAATATCTCGAGTACCCGTGGAGTCCCAGCTATGGTCTTAAAGAATGATCCAAATAATGGGTAGAATACGTGGCTTTCGGCTTCGTTAAGTGTCTTTTTACACCCTGTATATATAAATTATTAAATGACTTCTTTCTTCTCTGGCCTATAGTGGCGTGAGAGGGAGTGTCAGACTCCTCTGCTCCAGGCCGAGGCAGCTGTACCTTAACGCGTTTGCCCCGCACAATTTATTGAACTGTACTATACTAAATACTAAAGGGCATTGCTCTCTCTGCGTTCCATCAGTGTCGCAAGGTTATATTTTAACCATAATAACGAATTTAAGGATATTTTTTCATAGCTCTGAGTAATTTTTAAGAACCAAGTTAAAAACGATTACTCTAACTATTTTTAGAACCTATCTAGATAATGAGGTAACTTGAGTGTCTGAAAGTGCAAAATCAAAATGCATTGAAACTAATCTATATTAATTGATACTTGTATTCTTAGCATTAGTAAATAAACCGTGTACGCTAGAACAATGTACCTACCTATGAAACCAGCCATAGGTACCAGTTGTCAGTGAAGATGACGACTACAGCCCGCGCCAAACTTTGTGACCGCCCTGAATATAGTCGCGAGTCCGAACTTGCGCAAGGTACAGTCGAGTGGGCAATACCTATAATTGAGAAACGATCGGTTTTAATTACGAATAGTAGTTTTATATACGACTCGTAAGCTAAAACCGTTCCTATAATAAACGTCTCGTCGTGCAGCTTACTGACGGTTTGCAATCTATATATCGGTAAGCGAATTGTATGGAGATCTATGGTGTCTGTGGTTTTCCTATAAATATTTTAACCGGCAGTTATAGACGGTCAAGATAACTATTCGTAATGTCATTTGGTCGTAATGCGTATACAATGACGATTCGTTAAATATAGGAACCGGGCATTAATCAACCAATTTTCGTTTTCTATCATTTTTTATACTGGTTGATTATGTTTAAACTAATATTGGTTGATAACGTATTGCCCACTCGACTGTACCATGCGCAAGTTCGAACTCGCGACTAGATTCAGGGTGGCCACAAAGTTTGGCGAGAGCTGTACTAATGTTATTAAGTAGTCGCGTAAAATACTATTTTTACATTTTGGAATACAGCTAGTCCAGGTAAAACAATATTGGCAACTTAAATAAAAAATAAACCATTTATTATCATGTATTCTGATACTCTTTATTACACAGGGCAAATTTGGGCATTATCTTTTCGCCACTATTAAATGGATCCTCAAAAACCGTTGCTTGTTTTTAAAAAAAATATTGTACATAGTGACATAGAGACAGAGAAAGCACTTTGTTTTATACTACGCAGTGATAGTTAAATTGTGTTTTAATAATTTATCCTTATATGTATTATAATTAGAAAGACTTACCTGAACATAATTGTGTTTAGGAACATCATCTGGAAAACTGGCTTGAACAACTAAAATGTTTTCGCCGCCCACGATATACCTTATTGATTTAAGTATCTAGAATAAAAGTCGGAACAGAAATCAAATTATTATGTATGTATTACCTATCACGGGACCACAGGGTTCCGGTCATTCGGAAGGCGTACGAAGAGCCGAAGCCAACTGCGCAGCGGCCTTTTAGACAACTTTAATCTAAATGAAATGGGACACAAACCGGCGACTATCGCTGTATGCACTATGGAAATGCACCCAAGGAGAGTCTCCGGTTAGTTTAGGACTATTGCGGATAATGGAAACAAAGTACAAAGACTGGTATGATAGGAACTATGGAAAGACTATGCCACCTGCCGAAACAATGTAATGTACATGTTAAATGGCAAACGAAGATTCACCAACTCACCGACCGGGCACCAAGAATGGTTGCTAGATAGCAACAGAGATTATTATTACATATATAAATTTTAAATTCGTCGAAGTTTACGTGCCAAGCTTCGGGCCGAAGCCGTCGGCACGAATGGGTCGGCTGGACCGGAGTGATATTTAAGGATTAGAATGGAAACACAATGCTGTGGTCGTTTCATGTCGGTTTTCTGTGAGGCCGTGGTATCACTCCGTTCGAGCTGACCCATTTGTGTCGAAGCTTAAATAAATGTTGCCCACCTCTGAAACTTCAGGTTTGTTTACTTCATAGGCCAGGCCTGAACACGCCTGGGCTATGTCGTGATAAACGGCCTTCTTTTTATCTCGATAGTGGAGAGTTTTGTTTGCGGCGGTAATCACAAAAGAAATCTGTAGTGGAAACAGTAATTATTATGTAGTTAGTAGATGGTATTTCAAATATTTTAATTCATTATTTCACTTTTTTTAGTTTATATAATATTTTTTAGTTTTATCGTGTTTGCCACGTCATATTATATTATAATGTATTTAAATTAATAATACATATATTTTTACGTTTGGCTGACTTCTAAGTTGTGTCGTTTAAAATACATATAGAAAATCTAATAGATTATTGCTGCCTTTTATTTTTGGAATATTTCTACTTTTTTAAATAAATTGTATGCTCTTTCACATGCATTCCAATCGACTTTTTAAAATATATAAATATAAATATACAATTATTCTACTCCGAAATCAGCTTCGAAGTATTATAGAACTCTGATGTTGTTCCTATAAAATATCTGAGTACTTATGTTTTTTTATACTTGTCTTTTAACTACTAATGTACCTGAGATTGCTTTTCTTGACACAGTTGTTTGACAATATGAACATTATCATGATCTTTGGCTGAAGCATCGGTGAAGACGTATATGTAGGAGCCGTAATTACTCTCTTTTAAAGCGAGGATCAATCCTGTCATTGATAGCACTTCAGGGTAATCTTTACTGTGTGCAGAAACTTCTTTCAACGCTTTGTCAAAATCACATTGGTTTTGGGCCACCACTCTTACGCGTGCATCTAAAATAATAGATACCTAATGCTGTCAAAAAAGTTCATCAACAAGTACACGACTATTTTTAGAGGCCGTGTCTATGTATGTATAATGTCTCAAATGACGCTTGCTTTGTACGCCTTTTTATTTATCTGTATCAACCAAAGATTTGGCTGTCAAAGAATGCCCATGGCATTAAGTCCACCTTCGGTGCACATTTTTGTGCATAAAGATATTAAACACACGTGTAATGTTTAGTTACGACCAAAATCTTATTATGTATCATAATGCAATGGTGACTGACTGGTAGATGTTAAATCATAGGCTAAGAAAGAAATCTTCTTCAATTTTCGCCTGATTGAACTGAAATTAAAGATTGAAGCTACTACAAGTTTGATGAAGACTTAGGTAATTATTTAAGTCAAGTAAGTATCAAATTTTAATAAATTAAACACTAATGGGGATGAAATAAAGTAAGATGGAGGATGTAAAACGCGAGCAAAGCCACGGGTAAAATCTAGTTAATATTACAATTGATCTACCTCTTTTTTACATTGGTTATATATATAAAAGGTGAGGTCCTGATATTTAAGATAAAATCGGTTAAATAAGTTTTGGTCTTGGTCTTGGTCTTGGCATGTTGTTTAAAACTACGTTTGATGAAGGGAAGGAAGGGAATTCATCTCTGACCTTCCTCTGTAATTTTGTCTGGAAAAGTTTGTGCCTAACACATCACTATTGGAAGTATTGGTAATCTTCCTGGTCATTCTTCTTTATAAGTTTCATAACTTAAAGCTAAAATCGCTTCACTAAAGGTTCAATGACAGACAGATAGACAGATATAAAAATAGTCATTGGTCAATGATGAGTAATAAATGTAAGTTTTTGTTTAAATCTTAGTAAATAATTTGATTTTTAATTACCTGAATTGTTGAATGTGACGAGCACCATGTTACTGATCATCGTTGAGTTGTTCTTGAACACTGTGTCCATGATCCAGTCCATGCTGCGTTTGACATAATATATGTCATCATCCATCGAGAGAGTATCATCTATTACAAAGGTCAAACTCCCTTTCTCCGTGCATGATGCTTTTATAACAACATCAGCGAACACCAGCAATACCACCAGCGGATAAATCCGCCGCAACATTTTCACAAATAATTTAATAACAAACTGAATGATTGAATTATGCTTTTAAACAGGTGAACTATAGATACCTACTGTGGGAGTTAATATTATTAAACTCCCATTTATAGAATTATAAATTTATATATTACATCATAGATATTTTCAGAAGGGGCAGGTATTTTCCTTTTATTGTTTGTACCAAATTGGTATATCGAACTAAAATTTTAGATAATTTTCTCGTTTACTGGATAATGTGGGTAATATTTGACTATAACGATGGTATCTATACTAATATTATAAAGAGGTGAAATTTGTAAGTTTGTATGTAGGTATGTAGATTACCCATCTTTGGAACCACTGGTCACATTCCCAAAATTATTTCATTTATTGATAGAAACAATGTTCCTGGGTGCTATAGGCTATGAAACATCACGCTACAATTAAATGGGGCTCCATTAGTAGCAGGGAGTAAAACCGCGTGGGAGCAGCTAATACATATAAAAATATGATCATTCTTATAAATGATTCTCATTATGTGGCTTGGCTCGCAACAGGAGAAGGAACGGGATAATTTTATATCAGCAAGTGTCACTCGCTCTAACGCCGCCAAAAATGGGAGAAGTTCCTCTCCAACAAAAAACTCATTCCACAAATTATTAATATAATTAGATAGAAATAGATATGTCGCGGGGGCCCGGTTGGTAAGGCACCCGCTTCTCATGGATGAGGTGTGGGGATTCGAAAACTAGCAAGTACCTTTTGACCGAGATTATGATTATTTAAACACCACTGACAGTCAAGAGGCCTTTAATCAGCAGTGGGAACTTATAGGCTGATGATATGACTGTGAAGTAGATGGAAATACTCATTGGAGATTCAATAAATGATGGTAACTTGATTATACTTCTTGCAAAGTTCGTAGGTATATAATAGTTTTGTGATAAATTGTAAAGTTAATATTACGTTAAGTCGGGGTTAACATTGCAAATTACTAATGCTATCGATCTGTAACACTTTGTAAGTTTAGTATATTTTTCATAACATAAGGGACGGCTCGACGGGATTGATATCACAACCTTACAGAATACCGGCGTGAAATCACGCTTTCGAATGCCTTCTTCGAAGCGGGTGTTAGAAGGCACTGATTGACTTACCATCAGGTAATATGCCGAACTATCATCATAAAATAAAAATAAACGAACGCGATAATGTAGCGCATGGAGCCCTCCTACTAGGGCCATGCCAAAGGCCAGTGGATGCAGTTGACGAGAAGTTCGATGTGGAAGACTAAGGGCCATTTTTGAGCGGTGGACGTCTTTCGGCTGATGATGACGATGATAAGTAGGAAACTACTGTATTTGTCCATTTTGTGACATGTTTAACAATTGTCCGGTGGACTCATCTATGAAACCTTAGTGAGCTGCAGAAGAAGTTTGATCACGTATAAAATATCATATCCTACTAATATTATAAAGGCGAAAGTTTGTAAGTATGGATGTGTGGATGTTTGTTACTCTTTCACGTAAAAACTACTGAATGGATTTGGTTGAAATTTGGCACAGAAGTAGATAATAGCAGAATAGAAAAATATGCAGTTCCCGTGGGATACGAAAAATATTAGTCCACGCGGGCGGAGCCGCGGGCGAAAGCTAGTGAATAATGTAATTAAGATTCATAACATGGTATTTTCCTTACAAAAAACAATCTCTAACACGTTTCCTAAATAGGGTTCTTTTCATTTGGCACAAAAATATTTTAGAGACACATAATTTATTAGCATACATATTTTTTTACAAGGAATGACAGTTTAAAATTATTACATGCGTTTTCAAAAATTTTAAATGCGTTTACAATAGCGTTAATAATAAGAGGTAACACATTATGGATTTATGGATACAATGGAACTCCAGTTACAATCGATTCTTCTATCCCACAGTCATTTTGTCCACGCCGTATTTTAAAGAATCCTTTGTCACCCCATTTAGTACCCCAAGAATTCGCCACAAGCCAGTACTTAACACCGTTTTCAACCCCCCAGCCCAACACCTTGACGGCATGTAAACCCTGTACTGTTTGTTCCTGTGGGTCATATGTATATACTCCTTGTTTGTAATGGAAAAATGAACTATAAACCTTAAAGATCACCTCTACAGGCCCATATTGGTACAGTTCAACTTTAATACTTTCTTCGTTAGGAGCAATGCTGTACACTTTCTTACCACGGCGTTTGTCAGTTACATAATCTATATCGTCAGTGTCGCATTTCTTTTCACATATTTCAGGGGGAGGAAGACTGTAACGCTTACATCCTTCAGTCGACGTATTCGTGTTGCCTCCAGACACAATACCACATTTCTGCCAAAATTGGAAAGCTAATGAAGGCCAACCACCACCGCATGGGCCTTTTCCTCCGCACTTACGACAACCTGTGATAAGATCTTGAGCGGAGAAGTGGAAATTTAGTTTGCCACCAGAAAATATACAGTACCTATCAGTCATCGTTGTCACTGCACCGAAAGCCCAGCAACTTCCACATTGTCCTTGATCTCTTATTTCGTTTAAGGAAGTGCAGTTCGTCCATTTATCTCTCGGATCGAAACTTTCGGGGAGATTTATACAACCCCCGACATGATCAGCTTTTTCTAATTTTTGAATGTATTTATCTTCCAATGTACCAAGTAAAGACTTCAGGTTTGTAAATGACGTATTCTTGGGGAAGTTTCTGCCGGCTTTCCACGTTTTTTGCTTGGAATTGATTAAAGCAATGAATTCGTCGGACAACGGATCCAATTTGTTCATGTCAATGACTGTAACAGAGAAAACAGTATAAGAAAATTATTTGTGTGGCAATCACTGACGATATCTGGATTTCTTTAAAGCTTTCTACTGCACTCATTAGTTTTTAAATTTTAATACAGTTATTTTAGTAGTAGTTCATTTTATTTACTGGCCCTGTAGAAATTATAGGTAATTCGAAAAAAACTGTGAATAGTTTGCATAATTTACTGTGGAAAAAAATATAGCTATCTAACTACTTTTAAATACTTTTTTAAACGATTTAATAAGACATTCTATTTACTTACAAATATTTTATGTAATTTGTTGTAAGCAAAAATTTTGAAAAATAATATATTAAAAAACGTTGTACGTTTACATATTACAAAAAATTGTATTTTCAATCAAAATTTAAAAACATTGGAATTGTTTTGGTAGCATAAAGCGACTAAATTAATTCAGGGTTTTCTTTGATACAAAAATAGAGTCATACTAGTATAAATAACAAAATAGACTTACTTTTTGGTTTTGAGGGTGTGACAGGGATACTTGAGATACGCTTTATAAAGTGACCCGTTGCTATCACCTTTCCTTTCACCTAAATTATAAAAAAAAATATTTAATTATATGATTGCTGGTATTTAATAAAGTACTTTTTATGGATGGAATAATCCTGGCCATCTTGAACTCGAATAGCTAACTACCTATATGTATCTACAGTTATTTGTCATGGTAAGATCGTGGTACTAAACTAACTTAAGATAAGAAACTCCCTTTACATATTACCAATGTGAATTTTTTCTGAGTTATACATACATATGTACTTTCTAAGATTATTTGGAAACCACTGAAATGCGACGAAGGAAAATATTCTCACGATGTTTTCCTTGAGACCTGGACTAATAATTTTATTTCTAATTATAATTTTGATGTTGCTAAGACATCTTGAGTAAGATTGGTGATTAGTACTCACCATACCTTCTCCGTGTAAAGAGGCCCAGCAGTTGAATTATAAGCTGATAATTCGTTGCATTAATGTAGGCGTAAATGAATGATAATGATGTTTGAGAATTGCTTTTTATAATATACTGTGATATGTGTGATATATTTATAACTGTGGCAGAACCATGATAATTGTGGATGCCATGCTTCGCCATGAATGGGTCGGCTCGACCGGAGTCATACCACGACTCACAGAACACCGGCGTGAAACAACCAGAGCGTTATGTTACACTATGTGAGTGAGGTTACCGGAGGCCCAATCCTTCCTTTCCCCAATCCCAAAATCTCCAAATCCCTAATCCCCAAACTGTCGGCAATGTTACTTCTCCATTGTTGCGTCTGTCCATGGGTGGCGTTGATTGCTTACCATCAGTTAGCCGTCCTATCACATATATAAATATACGAACAAAGTTAAATAAATAATACTGAATACGTAATTAATACTTACAACTACTTTGAACATTACTGTCGGTGTAACAAAGGGTGATGAAATGTAAAAATCTTTCGAAACTTTTGTCAAAGGAAGATCAGCTGTGATTGGTGTATCGTTCATTCCTAAGATCTGGGCTGTTGTTATTTCCACTGTTTGCCGTTCATCAGAAACGAATACTGACAGGTAGATATTTGTATCTGAAACCAAATAAAATGTTATGGTTTTAGTGGTTACGTGGAATTAAAAAAGGGATAACAAATGAAACAGATGATGTCCGAGACAATACAGAAAAAGTAAACCTTAAACAACAGGACAAAGTCAAGAACTAGGTGTGGGAGAGCTATGCTTCGGCACGAATGGGTCGGCTCGGCCGGATTGATACCACGGCCTCACAGAAAACCGGCGTGAAACAACCACAACGTTGTGTTTCGCCGTGTGAGCGAGGTTACCGGAGGTCCAATCCTTCCCCTACCCCAATCCCTTCCCAGTCCCAAAATCCCCAAAATCCCAATCCTTAAAAGGTCGGCAACGCACTCGTAACTCCTTCTTTGTTGCGGGTGTCCATGGGTGACGCCGATTGCTTACCCTCAGGTAATCCGTCTGCTCGTTTGCCGTCCTATCACATTAAAAAAAATATATGTTGAAGGAAAGTACTGATCCATCCACCAAAGTAATTGCAAAGAATACCTACGGTTGGAAGCAAGATTGTCACTACAATAGAAACAAGATATGAAATAGATTTCTAAGCTAAAATGATTAAATGACCTTTTAGGATTTAATCTCCTTTGGTAAATTATTATTGTAATTGCTCCCACAACCCCGGCTGACCATTTGCATACTTTTGATATAATTATAACTATATTTATTAAAAAATAACATAAAACATCAGGTGCTATACCTACTGTTTTTCAAATGCGTCATTTTGGTAGAAACGCTGTTAATCAGAAAAAGACTAAGACTAAACCGAAACATAATTTAAAATAACGTTTTGCATACGACACAAACATATTATTAAACTACATAGTTACTTACTAGCAATTGGTTGGAGCGTCGTATCGTTGAGTGACTTAGGTTTCTCTTCCGAAAAACCATGTTTGAAGAGGAAATCAGACCTGCCCACTATGACGACGGATGTTTGGGATTCACCTTTCACGGTAGCGATGTATTTGCCAGGCTTTGTACCAACCAGTTTCACCACCTAAAACAGTTAAGTATTTTATAAGAAGGTTTCCAGAAGAATGTGGCTCGACCATCGACTTAATATTTAGGGAATCTACAAAAGAATTATGCAACCTCGAAAAACTTACTAACTATATAACTAAGAAGTTGTTATGACACTTCTTGATACAGTAGATTTGTGCTTTGTTATACTCACTTTACCGTTGGCATTCCACATTAAGTTTTCTTGTTTGCCGGTTGGTCCAGATAATTTTAAGTACACGTTCATACCCGTAACGGATACGATGACGTATTCAGTTTGTTCATCAATTTCGAACTGAAAAAATTACATGTTTTATTTTCAATTTTAAATATATGTGAGTGAGGTAACCGGAGACCCAATTCTTACCCTCCCTCAAACCCTCCGCAGTCCCTTAATTTCCAAAACCCTATCCTCAAAACGATTGCTTACCATCTGGTAATCTGTCTGCTCACATAAACACATTTCCATAACATAAAAAAACATATTTTGTAGCCCATTAAAACTTCATTAAAATTGGTAGGTACCTCAAAATATTTAAATGACTTAATAATATTATATGCCCACAGTTGTCCCAGCTAGTTGATCAAGGAAGAGAGATATCGCAATTTGACACTACATGGGGCGCATTTAGATATCTGTATAATCACCATTATAAAATAGCATTCAAATAAAATGTGTATAAAAGCACTTACTGAAATATCTTTCAAAACACGAGGTGGAACAGTCGTTGTTTTAATTATAACCTTTTCACCACTTATTATGTCGGTTATAGGTCTGAGTACCTGAAATAAAAAAAAGAGTAAAATTAACGTGATAAAGTACTAAGCAAGGTGTAAATATCTTCATTTGGGATTCGGCAAGTTACGTTATGGTGTTCGAATTATAATTATATAGACGAATATTTAAAATAGCTAAAAGACACGATTCAAAGAAAATAATAAATAGTAGGTGCATTGTGAAAAATTGTAGTCCTTTTTCAAATAATATTATTCTGATATATAGTTGCCTCCACTAAGTTGTATTTTAAAAATGAATAATCGCTTTTGAATAGGCCTATTCATCTAAGGTTCCGCAGACCAGAGGTTCAATTGACAGACACGCCAAAATATTATTTGGTTTATATCTTTCAAAATTCATACTTATAACACGAAATTGTGCCCTATATTTTTGTTGGGTATGCCTAAAATTGTATTTGAATAATATTAGCTTATGACTTGCACATTACAGCTGAAATCTTGCTTACCTCTGATACTTCATTTTTGTTCACTTCATATGCCAGCCCTGAACACGCCTGGGCTATTTCGTAATACACACTCATCATTTTATCTGGATAAGACGCCGTACATCTTCCGGTTATCACAAAAGAAATCTGAAATGAAGTCGGTACAAAATTATTTATGCTCATTGAACATTTTCCAAAAACATGTAAGATCTTCGTTTTAATATACAAAGAAGCATGGGAGAACCAAGCTTAAACATTAATGGCCAGCTTGACCTTGATATATTTCGGGCTAAACACATTTTTTTGAAAAATGGTAAATTTAATCATGACATATTTCCACTACACTGAAAAGCAACTAAGACTGGAATCATCCAATGACTTTTCTCGCCCTAGAGACGTCGCCGTGACGAGAGAGAGTATCAGACCCATACTGACTAAAAACCACAAGGCCAGGTCAGGGTCCATTATTACGGTTGCACTCAGAAAGTCGGCTGATCCATTAAGAGCTAAAATGCCAATATGTCTGTAAGACATTCAAACTTATACATGGATCCATGAAACATGAGTATATAAATACACATACATGTCTTATTTGTGCAAAGACTTTTCAGCAGACATTTTGTAATTTTACAATACAATTTACCAAAAATTTACGCTCAGTACCTGGGATTGTTTTTCCTGACACAGTTGTTTGACAAGGTAAGCATCCTTGTGATCTTTGGCTGTAGCATCGGTGAACACGTAAATGTGGGAGCCACGATTACTGTTTTTCAAAGCGAGGATCAATCCTTGCATTGACATTTCTGGACAGTCATAGTTTTTATTACCGTGTACTTCAACTGCCTTCAATGCTTTGTTGAATTCTTCACGCTTGTTGGTTACTACCCTCACATGTGCATCTGAAACAAATAAAGACTGGTAAATAAAAGTCAAAACACTGACGATTTTCTAAATTTGAATTCTTTTTTAATTTGGCTTGACTTAACATATCCTTTAAAATGCATATTTCTCATATGTTTATGTTTTCGTCGGCGCGTAGCGTTCCGCGCGTGCCTCAAAGAGCCAATAGACCACCACAAACGGGGCTCTATAGGGCTGATGTTCAGCCGGGTTTGCGGGGCAAGCGCAATGAGGCACCGCAGCCAGATTTCTTAATAGTCGTTTTGTAGTTTCATCCCAAAAAGGTCTCTTTGGTCTAAATGATTAAACTTAGACTAACCTGGGTCATTAAATGTGACGAGCACCATGTTGCTGATAATACTGGCCTTCGTACTAAACACGATATCCATGATCCGGCTCACGCTGCTTTTGACTTGATTTATGTCATCCGTCATAGACCAAGTATCATCTATTACAAAGGTCAGACTCCCTTTCTCCGTTAATGGTTGATGCATACATGATGTTTTTAGAACCACATCGGCGAACACCAGCAATACCGCTAGCGGATAAATCCGCCCCAACATTTTCGCAAATAATTAATTTAATATCAAACCGAACAAGTAACTGTTCCGTCGTAATGAACGACGGATACTGTGATGACCCTTAGTCCTGATCTATTTTATATACTGCCGCTAATTACCACATTAATAAATATTTCAAGATATTTTTTCCTTTTATTGTTGGTAATTTTCACGATTATCTTTTATTTATTTCAATTATATGTAAACATTTTTAATTTAGGTATTCATTAAATTCGTTTACCTCTTTAACTGCCTCACTCAGGGACATTTAATAATTGAAGTATTTATGAGACTAAAACTGGATTAAGCAAGTAATAATTTACTCAGAGTCCAGCAAAGTCATCATCACCTCTTTCATTTCACTGCTAGGCCTCTCAAATTGCACGTAACCGCGCTCAACGTTTGGCTCTTCTCAGTCAACCACTGACAGCCACCCTGCAGTTATCGTCAATCTACCTAGCTGAAGATCCCCTTACACTACCTTGCTTGCTTAGCCATGGCCTCTACTCCAGAACACGTCTACGTCATATCGTTACATAGTGTAAAATAATATCGCTTTTTCTGTCCCAATATATGGATATATCTATAATATAAAAATGAATGGCAAAATATGTTGATAATCGCATATTTCAAAAACGCCTGGACCAATTTTGCCAGTTTTTTTTTTTGAGTGTTTTATCGTGAGGAGAACGTTCTTATATGAAAGATAATTTAAGGAAAGTAGACGGAAAATTCGGGAAATTGCTACGAATTCGATACCCGTGTGAAGTAGGGGCGAGCGGCAAGTAATATATAAACATAGGGATGTTTGCTTACATCTTATAAACTAAGCAAAGGATTTCATTGCTGTTTTTTTAAAGATAGATTCAAGAGAAAGATTTATATGTATAGTGTTATACAAAATTTGCACCTGTGCGAAGCAGGGGCTGGTCGTATATTATAAGTGTGTATTGTTCAACTACTATAGAAAAGAGAGAGAGTTGAGTTGTCTACTTGAACGATTATGAAATATATTTAAACCATGCAAAATGTTTGTATTTGTATGAATGCACTGATCTCGGGATCTACTGGTATGATAAGATTCTTTTATTAATAATGTTCTTATCGGATGTCATTTTTTTGCTAAATCTTTACGCATCATATTGTTTCATAGGCGGACTTTGCGCTATAAGCATTCTCACCGGTCGAGGTTGGAATGGAATGGAATGAAAGTATGTCAGGTCCAAAAAAAACTTGGAAGAATAAACTTCTATTACAATATGGAACAAAGTTTATAAAAGTAAAGAATTAAATAAAACAAATGTAGTTTGAGAATTGAGAACAGAAAAAAGAGTTGACAAAAAACGAAGCAGTCTTCTCTGACAAATTAGCATCCAATTTAACTCAAACCTATACTCAGAAACGCGATCGTACTTTTTTACGTTAAAGACGAATCTTATGCAGATGTCGATGAGACGTTTAAACTTATTGAACATATCCGAGCCAAAATCGTAATAACACACAATATTATCGCCAATTATAGAGATTAAGAAGTGCACAAGCATTGATTTGGTCTTGGGTGGACGGACATAATTATAGTATACCTACTAGCTATTCCCGCGCGGTTTTACTCGCTACTCGTCTCCATTTGATTGTAGCGTGATGTACAGCTTATAGCACTCGGGAAAATTGTAGCTATCTATCAGTGAAAGAATTTTGGGAATCCGACTAGTGGTTCCAAAGATTACCCCCTACATACAAACTTACAAATTTTACCTCTTTATAAAATTAATATAGATAATTATAAATAATCAATCATACATCGTTAGAAGTTGTATTACATCAAGAAATTTAAAATTAAGGCGTATTTCTGTTATTTTCCTACTCAGATCGTGCATCATGCATGTTGGGTTGGCAGTTGTCGTTAACCGATTTTAATATTTTGCCTTTTTATCCACAGCCCAGAGAAGGAGAAGGAACGGGATGCTTTTTAGTCAGTAAGAGTCTGGCTCTTCCTCTCTCCCCATGCGTGGCGAGAGAAGTAATTCATTATATCTACCTGTATAATCTGGCCTGTATAATCGCACCTATACGAATAAGAGATCCACTTTTATAGATAAAAAGTATGTAGTTCAATTCGACATGATATTTTATTCATTATAATAGTTAACTTAACGTGTCCATTGCAGCAAAGGCCTCTTCTCACTCGGAGAATTTTTGAGCAGGTACCACCGGGTTATTTACGATTGCAAAATTATAATTGTAAATTAAAAGTCCAAGTTTCCGAGCGATGTTATCCTTAAATATTCTGGCGTCTAAACTACCTATTTTTATTAATTTATAACCAATTTTTATTTATTTATAATTTGCACCTGTTTATGTTGTAAGGGAAATATGTAGGTTTGAATGATAATAATATGACAGTTATTTACAGAATAAATATTCTGTTGTTCTTAATTATAATATTGAGGTATTAAAATATTTTTCCTCTTTCAGCAGCACCTATCTCCAATTAAAATATTTATAACTGCCTACCCTCGCGCTGTTTCACCTGCTACTCGGCTCCTACAGATCGTAGCGTGATGTTTTATAGCCTAAATCCTTCCTCAATAAATTGTCTATTCAAAACAAAAATAAGTTTTCAATTCGAACCAGTAGTTCTTGAGAATAACACGTTTAAACAAACAAACTCTTCAGCTTGATCATATTAGTAAAGACTAGCTTTCACCAGCGGCTTCGCCTGCGTACTGTCTTGATAAAAAGCATAAATCCTATTACTTACTAAGTCTCCGCTATCCGTCTGTCCATAAATAGGATAGTACCTACGGATCTAACTAATAGGTAAGTATTACAAATATTTGATAGAACCTATTAAATTACATTATATTTTATACCACATCGCGTCGAGCGCGGCAACCATTATATAACCCTTATAGCATTACTCAGTGTTCACATGCGACTGCTCGATGGATTATTATCTGAACTGCTAAGCTATCAGGAGTTACACGTGATATTGTGAGTTAACCATAAAAGATAGAATTATGCTGTAATACATTTTTTTTAGATAATTTTATATAAAATATTTCTGTCATACATATTTTTTTTATTTCTATGTAACTTCAATCATTAAGGCAGTAACGCGACGGAAACTTAAAAAACGGAGTAACTTCTCCCGTTTTCCCAACATTTCCCTTCACTGCTCTGCTCCTATTATTTGTAGCGTGATGAAAAGTATCCTATAACCTGCCCAGGAGTATAAAAAATAATTCTACCGAGTTTTGTTAAAATCCGTCGAGTAGTTTTTGTTTCTATAAGGAACATACAGACAGACAGACAGACAAAAATTTTTACTGATTGCATTATTGCCATCAGTATCGATCACCAATCACCTCCTGATAGTTATTTTGAAAATATATTTAATGTACAGAATTGACCTCTCTACAGATTTATTATAAGTATAGAATACTTGGCCTCTTTCTCATCTATGCTCAGGTGCAAGTTCCTAACTTTCCCAGTTATACTTATTTTATTTAATACAATCCGAGTTGTAATAATACCTATTAACCAACTGATGTTTCTGACCCCTTTTTTAATGGGATATGTCTAAAAAGCCTATAATTTGGATTCTTACTTCACGAAAATCGCATGAATTTAGTACTTCCTTAGAGAGGATACATATTCCTTGAGTTTCGCTTTTCTTAGCGCCACGTGATCACTAATCAAATAGAAATCATGTTCGTTGAAAGTTATCCAAACTAATATTATAAATGCGAAAGTAACTCTGCCTGTCTGTTTTTTCTTCACGTGTAAACACTGAACCGATTTGTGTGAAATTTGGTACAGACATAGTTTGGAACTCGAGAAGGACATAGGATAGTTTTTAAACCAAAAATCTGCAGGCAATCACTGTTCCACATAAACGAAGTCGCGGACTAGTTGTAATATAATCGACAAAAACAATTAAAAATACGTTTGTTATTCACATGGATCACATATAAAAATGGAGACCAGTTCACTAACTGGTGGGTCGATACCCATCGGAGAGTTTCGGCAATACCTGCCCCTTCGACACATGGGTTCAGCAGATGGTTCTAAAGACGGGGCGAATTAATTTAGGATTGCCTATGCAATCACAAGAAATTCTGTAAGTAATGTCTCATATAGTATAATACTGGGTAAGCTATTGATTCTGAAGAGAAATTATTTTAGCCTCAATATTCTTCTGTGGTCTATCCATCGGTGGGTAGGTTTCAACTAACACGTCAAGAACAAAGTGTGAATGGATTTTCAAGTATAAAATTCCTCGGAGTCCAGAAGATGAGCGGTATTACCCCCATGCTTCAGGAATCGCATAAAGGCGTTAGTCATTTATTTCAATTGTCTCTAGTTATATCGGAACGTTTAATATCTTACTCCCGATATTGTTTTAGTAGGTATTCTTGTAACGTATATGTTTTAAAATACCTGATAAGGCCATTCTGAGACTAGTCTTCATCCAATAGCTGTTGGCGGTGGTATTTGCAATCACCAAGTGTGGAATAGCCAAGCTTTGGCATAAATGGGTCAGCCCAATAATGGAGTCGGGCTTACAGAAAACCGGCCTAAAACAACCATAGCGTTGTGTTTCGCCGTGTGAATGAGGAAACCGGAGGACCAATTCCTCCCATAACTCCATCCCACCCCAATCACTACCTTTCGGAAACTATAATCCCCTTTGGTATTGCGAGTGTCCACGGTGCTATTCATCCTCAGGTAATCCATTTGCTCGTGTGTCGAGTTGTCACTTAAAGAAACAACTCGACCAAAGAGGCAGTTTTATAAATTAAGCCTTTGACTGCCGACAGAAAACTGTTGTAGGCAAATCCTCCGCTAACGGAGGTCACCGGTGACCATGGCGTTTAACGCGTTGAGGGTTACGTCGAAATTCTTATAGAATTTGTATGAAATGGGCTATTTGCTGGTACTTAGAAGGAAATATTTGATACTTGAATATTTCGAATAATATATACTACCTACTTAAATAA